TTTTGTTTAGGTTTAGTTTTATAAAAACACTCAAGTCGCGCGTTGTTATAATGACTGACAAACAAATTATTGCACTATGGTTATACAATTGTCGCCATAAAAGACAACAGAAAAATCGCATTTTTTTTGGTACGTCCTATTAATGCTCGGAGAGACAGTGCATATTTCAACTAATATACTGGGCGACATTAATGTCGCCTAGTAAATATTTTTTGTCGCCTAGAAAATGATATATTTAATTACTGGGCGACAACATTGTTTTGGTAAAAATTAAAATGTTTGTAATTATTTTAAAATTGTATTTATCATTGTTTTCATTATGCTTGATTTTGTAACTTGTTTATCATTTCCTTCGGTTCACATTTATATTTTGTGACACACGAACGTAACTCGCTTTTTCAGGGTGAACGTGAATATGAACAATATTTATATTTTTAATGAATTTGAACGATTTTTGGGGCGTTCAAATTTATTTCATCATCATACTCATATGACTCCTATGACTTCAAGACTCTGTAAGAGTTTTCTCCGCCTCTGTCAAAGCACTCCAACTTCCATGACTCTTAATCAACTATTCCCAATTTGTTATATCTAGTCTCTCTAGGTCTTTTATGCCATCTATCCATCGATTTTTTGCCTCTTTTTTTCTGATTACCAATCCATGGTTGGTCTAGCTTTGCTTGTCGCTTCTCTTCATTTAACATGACCGAACCATTTTAGCCTTTGTCCTTTTATGTAACTTATTATCATGGGTATTTTTGTACTTTCCCTTATCTATCTATTTTTTATTTTACACTAGCAATTGGCTACATCATTATATACGGGTCCACATATTGTTCTTTACATTTTATTTTCGAAGGTCTTATGAAAAACTTAACGCGATCGTGTAGGCTTTAAAAAAAAATTACATGAACATGAACGAATTCCTTTTTTATGCACTGAACATGAACGTGTACGAGTTCAATTTACATTAACTGAACGTTCCGAACACTGATTAAATACGAGGTGTGATCAAAAAATACCCGGACTGCGTTAATAATATTTATATCAGTTAAGATAACGAAATTCCGATAATGTCATTCGAAAAAGTAACTTCTAACTAGGATTTGAGCGTTGGTTTGAAATCAATAACAATATTTGTATTTATTTTATGTTATTTTTACAAAAACATGCTTCAGTCGTGTGGCGAATTCCGTAAAGGAAGGAATAGAAGAACAACGTGTGCGCGTAAAATTTTGTTTTAAATTAGGAAAAAGTTTGAGTGAAACTTTTGAACTTTTGCAGTAAGCTTTTGGAGATGATATTCTGAGTGTTCTTGAGTGGTTTAAACGGTTTAAGGAAGATAGAACATCCGTCATGGATAACGAACGACCCGGTAGACCATCGACCAGTAAAACAAATGAAACTGTTGCTCGGGTTCGAGAAATTATTCGAAATAATCGTCGATTAACTATTAGAGAAGTAATAGAAGACGTCGGTATATCTTATGATTCATGCCAAGAAATATTAACAAAAGAATTGGGAATGAGCCGAATCGCAGCCAAATTTGTTCCTCGACTCTTAACCGATGAACAAAAACAAAACCGAAAGACCATCAAACCACTCAAAACATGTTGTCCGAGACAGAACATCATCTCCAAAAGCTTGCTGCAAAAGTTCAAAAGTTTCATTTGAACTTTTTCCTAATTTAAAACAAAATTTTACGCGCACACGTTGTTCTTCTATTCCTTCCTTTACGGAATTCGCCACACGACTGAAGCATGTTTTTGTAAAAATAACATAAAATAAATACAAATATTGTTATCGATTTCAAACCAACGCTCAAATCCTCGTTAGAAGTTACTTTATCGAATGACATTATCGGAATTTCGTTATCTTAACCGATATAAATATTATTAACGCAGTCCTGGTATTTTTTGATCACACCTCGTATATATTACAAGTTTAAATCGTATAATTAAAGTTTCTAAGATTGGAATATTAAACACTGAAATTTTTTTTTATTCTATAGGTTCATTTTATTGTTAATGTTGATTTTTTTTTTTTTTTTATTTGAAAATTTAAAATCTGTATTAAGAAAACACAATGAGTAAATGTGATAATATGTACAATACAATATAATATAAAGACAGAGTGACAGGATAAGGGAGACTATCCAGTGATAGAACCCTTCAGATTTAAATTAATCTAAATTAAATTTATTTTAATTTTAATTTTTTTTTTTTTTTTAGATCATAAAAGATCACGACACCAGCGTCTTTTTAGACGTCGAGGGGAGTTGTCGGGAAGTGTACGTGATGATAAGTGGGAGATAAGAGGATTATGGTGTAGATGTAGTTTTTTGTGAAATTTGGTGTAGTATTGTTTAGTTAGATGTTCAACCGTTTGTATTTTTAAGTCCTTGTGAAGTGTATTATTTGTTACGTACCATGGGGCAGATGTTATGAGACGGAGGGATATGGACTGGAATGCTTGGATGGTTTGTAGTTGGGACGGTTTGGCACAACCCCAAATTTGAGAGCCGTAGGTCCATATGGGTCTTAAAAAAGATTTGTATATTGTTAATTTTGAATTTATGGAGAGTTTGGATTTAAGTATTGGGTGAAGCATGTGTAGACGATAATTTAGTAATTTTCGTTTAGATTTAAGATGTGGGCCCCAAGTTAGTCGTTTGTCGATTGTGATTCCTAGATATTTAATCTTCGGTGTAATAGGAATATTAACACCTTGTAGTTGAAGGGGTGGGGAGTTTTTTTTCTGAGTGTGAATGGGACATGGAATGATTTTTCGGGGTTTATTTTGACACGCCATGTTGTTGCCCAGATACTTATTAAATCAAGGTGGTTTTGAAGAGCAGAGGAAGCTATCTCAGAATCTGTGTCGGAAGTAAGAATGGCTGTATCATCTGCATAGGTTGCAATAGTTGTGTTATTTGTTGTGGGAAAATCAGATGTATATATATTAAACAAGTCAGGGAGAGATCACTACCTTGAGGGACTCCAGCAAATATTGGAAAATATAGAGAGGTTGAGGTGCCTTGCCTAACTGAAAAAGTTCGGTTTTGAAGATAAGAACGGATTAACAAATAGTAAGGTGCTGGAAGGAATTTTTTTAACTTATAAAGCAGACCATCATGCCACACGCGGTCAACCGCCTGCGCGACATCTAGGAAAACTCCAGGGCAGTATTTTTTGTTTTCAAAAGAGGATGCTATTTTATCAGTGAGACGGTGGATTTGGTGTATTGTTGAATGACTAATTCTGAAACTAAATTGTGAGTGAGGTATTATATTCTGTGATTTTATTATCGGTCTTATTCTTTTCAAGATAATTTTTTCAAATATTTTTCCTAAAGTAGGAAGACTGATTGGCCTGTAAGAAAATGTTAAATGTTTTGGTTTATGAGGTTTGTGTATGAGAATAACAATGGAAAACTTCCATGTTAAAGGGAAGTAAGATAGTCTCAACATGGAGTTGTAAATTAATGTAAGTAAAATTATTGTTTTATTTGGTATATGTTTGAGCATTTTGTTTGAAATTAAATCATATCCGGCTGATTTTCCTACTTTTAATTTGTTAATTATTTGTTTAACTTCATTCGGAGAGGTGTGCTTTGCTGGAAGATTCATAGGTAGTGGACTGTTTAAAAAGTTTTTTATTGTGTTTAATTGTTCAGGATCTGGATTTATATTAGGGTGAGGAGTGAATGTTGATTTTATCAATTTTGTTTAAATACATGGACATTTTTTTTGTCGCCCAGTGAAAAACTCCTTAAAATATTCACTGCGGAGAGAGGAAGTGGGATTATTTTATAATTCATTTAATGACTTATGAAATGATGAAAATAAGTTTTTTAGTTATTTCCGTATGTCAAGTGCTTCTTTTGATGTATTATATGTAAAACTAGCCACTAAGCTTATCGCGCCATCCGGCTGCCGTATATTGTAGTGGCAATATACGGCTGCTGCACGGCACGGCATTTTGCCGTGACCGTAGAATATGAAAGCGTATATGCTCTTCTTCGCGCCTCTAACAAAATGTCGCCGTCCGGTTTTTTGCCGTACGGTCAAAACCGTGTAGTGTGAAACAAGCCTAGGGATTCAAATAATTACCAGTAGTCAGCGATGTATTTACGGGGGGGGGGGGGTAGGTTCCCGGGTCTCGACCGCCCTCACAGAAAATTTGAATATACGAAACTGGCAGTAGGAATTGAATAACAAATAATTTACTACATCTGTGCTTAAGTATTTTATGTATTTAGTGATATTCGTTGTATGTGTTATATTCCGCAGTCCACACTTGCATCAAATTCCAAAATCCCAGATCTTATATATTTTATGAGCTAATTTTTATAAGTTAATATTTAAGCTCATATTTTCAAAAAATTTAGGTTAATAATTAAATTATATTTTTGGAAAAATCTTGTAATTTCTCCAAGTGCTTTTTTTAAATCGTGCTTATTATTGGCAGAGTGTATTATCGTCAACGAATTTTAAGAAGGGTGTTATTTTTTTCCCCATATTATTTTTTAGTGTTTTTCTAATTTCTTTAATAAGTTGTATCCCGGGAGTTAGATACAATTAATGTTATCAATAGATAACAAGTCAAAGAAGCTGTAAGTTACTGATTAGTCATGGAATTAGTCCTTATCAAATCTTTACATAAGTGATATGAATATATTTACTTAATAAAAATCATTTAACTATTTAAATGTGACTTTTTTATCCGGTTCTATTGGGAAAATTAACTTAAATATAAGCGACATTTTTAGTCTACTAAATTATTAATATGTTGAGTTTACGTACAACAAATTGTGTTCTTAAAGTTTTAAAAACCGCTCGTAGTAAGTTGATTTAATAATTAAAATAATAAATATATGGTAGTACTTCAAAATTATGTTTCATCAAAATTATTATTTAAATATCTAAAATATTATTATTATAAATATATATATTTTTTTATACTTATTTAAGCCAGAATGAAAAATTATTTTAACTAAATACTAATTTAATTTTTCATTCTTGTAACTGAACAATTATACAAAAAAAAAAATTAATTTTACCTACAGTATACTCTTTAAATTTTATAATTCTGTCATAATAATTGTATTTACATGTATCAATAATTTTCTTTAAAAGTACAATGTTATATTTCAGCCAATATATAATATATTTATACTAAGTGAATGTTTTCAATTTATTAGTTATTTGAATATTATTTAATTTTATAAATTAATATTTGACTATATTATATATTATATTATATTAGATGAGCAATCATTTCATAGATGGTTGGCTCCAACATTAAGAGAATTGAAACGCAGGAAAGATAGTCAAGGTCCAGAAAAACCAGTTCATCGTAAATCATTTCTTGAATGGTGAATAACATTAAATTTGCTAAACAATAATAATGTCTACTTATTTTTTCTTTTTTTTTCTAGGAATTATGATTCTGAAATTTATGCATTTAGTAAGCGTTTAGGTGAAGATTTTAACAATGATTTGCTATTAAAAGCATTTACTGAACGTTCATATATAATTGATGAAGAAGAAAAACAAAAGAGTGTTGGTATAGAACAGCCTACTTTAAATTTAATTGATAATAAGGAATTAGTTGCAAAAGGTTCAGAATTCATTGATGATATAGTTAAACGTTACTTACGTACAGTACTACCTAGATTACCTGAAGAAGGAATTATGTATGTATATAAAAAATTGTATTTAATTCCAATTATGTTTAATTTTTTGATTCTTTAGAGAGTTACACAAGTATTTAACTAGTGTTGAAACATTGTCTCATGTTTCTTATCATATTGGTACTCCTGAATTGATTCTCTGTGCTGTAAGTGTATTTAAATATAAATTTGTTCTTTATATTTTGTTAAACATGTGCATTTTGGTAATTTATTTTCAGGATTTCCCTGTAGAAAAACTAACTATGGCTAATGTACTAAAATCAATAATTGCTGCATTAATTGAAAGTTCTGGTGAGAATCGAGCTGCTATATTTGTACGTGATTTTATATTAACACAAATAGCAGATAAAGACTTGCTCCAATTTTGGGATCTTCAACATCCAATTAAACTTTTATCAGACATTTTAGCTAGAGATAATATCCAATCCCCTGAACCTAGACTTGTTGGATGCTCTGGCAAGAATACAATTTTAGCTTGCTTTAGAGTAGGTCTCTATACTCCACACAATAAACAAATTATTGGACTTGGTAAGACATATTTTTATTACATACTTATAAATTAGATTTAAATTATTTCTAATTTTTTAATAAATTCATGAAAATAGGAGTTGGAGAAACTGTAGATATAGCACATGAAATGGCAGCAATAGATGGTTTGCGGCAACTATTTGGTACACCAGAAAATATTTTATTTCCATATAATTTAGAATTAGAACAGCTATGTGCAAGTACTGATAAAAATTTGTCTGTTAATGAATGGTCACAAAAAAATCTACCAGTACAACCTACAAATTTTGAACTTCATCAGGTTAAAATGACTAGTAGTTGTTAAGTTCATAACTATCAAGTTAGATTTTCATGTGAAATTTGTATTTTAAGTTTCATAACTTTATAATCATTAAATAAATGTTTAAAAATACTATTCAAAATTGAAAAATTACTCTTTCTATTAAACTCTTTACTTTCTATTACTCTTTCTATTCTTTTAAATGTTTTTAATATTCCTTTAGAGAATTAAAAAATATATTTTAGATTTTTTCAAATTTAGATATTTAAAAGATTTAGTCTACTAGAATCATTAATTTTAGTAGTAAATATGATATGCAATAATCATAATTAATTTATTTTTTGAATGGAAATTACACTAAATAAATACCATTGTATTTATTTAAAAGTTGGTAGGAATGGTTTAAATTATTTAAGATGAGATTTATTGGAAATAAAAGTGATTTTATGAGGTTTTTAGTTCTATAAATAATTTAATTAACTAAACAATTCTTACTGATAGTTCTTAAAAAAATAAGAGTGAAGAAAATATCATTAATGTAAAGTTTTTTAGCTAAAAAACATGAACATTTTAAAATATGAATTTCATAAATGATTGATAAGGAATGTGTAGAAGACTTGTCATTATCAGTTATCAGTCCCAAACATTTTTAAAGTTTTGAAGAAAAATGAAAGTAATAAAAGTGATGATGAGAATGGTAATGATATAGATATTGATTATAATAATTAAATAAATTATTTAATAGCATGTATTTTGATTTTACTGACTTTGTATATACTTGATAATGAATTTTTAATTTGAAACCGGTTGTACTTTACAAATATGATTGATTGCGCAGTGGTTTACGCAGGAAGAGGACCAATGGGCTAAAGCGTCCTCCCATTGATTGTATTATTATTTTTTCCATGGCCTTGAGCAAATAGTATGGTGTATTCATATAAATATTAAATGCTCTACACTCCACTTAGATGGAAATAATTATATTTCCCATCGTAAGTACTAAGTAGCCATATACATTAATTTAATATCTTTGTTAGTAACACACTAATTAGTTGTGTTGATCATTGGCAAACCTTTACACCTACCTGCTGTCGTGTCTTGTCTTGTATATATTGCTCCGTTTTTATTTTTATCCAACTTGTAAATCAAAGAAAAACTAGAAGGTTAAACACAGGTATAGTGTATAATCTATATTGACAATATAAATTATAGTCTATATTACGGTCTTAGGAGATATCTTCAAATACCATGGTATATATCAAGAACAAAAACTGATTGGAATCTAATCTGTGGTTTTACTACCCTTATTGCCTTCTGACAAGATAGTGTTGTGTTTTCCATATAAAGATAATTCCTATAATGTTTATATTGTCCGTGCCATATTTCCCAGTAAACACTATAAGCTAGTGCTTAGGGCGTCAAAGAATTTTTAATATTATATTTTTATTATATGTAGCTAGAACTAAAATAAATACAATTAATTATAAAATGTTTTATTTTATTAAATCCAATGGATACTAGGTACTAATTAATTAATTTTGAATAAAATTTAAAAATTAACTATTTAAGCATTTTTTATTAACATGTTTTTTATTATTATATTTTATATCATATTTTTATAATTAAATTTTTCATATGAATGTATGAATGCATTTTTATAACAACTGCATATTTTTATTTTATATAATTAAAATTTTAAGTTCTAAAGGAAACAACTATAATTATATGTTAATAACATTTTTTAGACTAAAAAAATATTTATATTAAAAGGGAACAATTTGTTTAGTATCATTATTTGTTTATAGCAACACAAATTGGTAAATCCAGCTCTGTATTATGTACTATTAAATGTATATTGTACACTGTATAATTGTATTGTACAGTGTATAGAATTAATTTTTTACACTGTTACCTTTGATTATATATCTACTATGCCATAATTGATCAAATTTTTGATTTTATAAATCTTATATTCATGTGTACTTTGTTTATTGAAGTAAACTGTATAGTATTATTATAACAGCAGTATAAAAGTATGTATGTACTTTATTATTATAAGCCAAATGTAAATATTTATTTTCAACCCTCCCCATTGAAAAATTCTGCGTACACTACTGCTTCAAGCTAAGCAGTTATTTATTTATTTCGATATACGAGTATAGATTATTTGTTTATTTAAGAATTAACTATTTACTAATTTTTAATTTAATTTAATTTTTTATTATATGTTCGACCTTTTAAGTTGACAACTTAATACCATTTTATGAAATATTTATACTTATATATTTTTCCATTTTTGCAATAAATCGAAATTTATTTAATTAAAAAAAGGTATACGCAAAAAGTTATGACTGACTATTTAATTTCGAAAAGTAATAAACAATTTAGACTTCAAAATATATTATTCCGTATTAGTAATTGATAAAAATACAATACAAGGCCGTAACTAAAAAAAAAATTCGGGTAGGGGGTCTAAAATTATTTATTTTTATTTTGTTTGATTTTTCAGTTAGAGTTTTATAGGTTTTTTATTTTAATAAATATTTTTGCTTAATTTAAAATTTTTTAAATGCTTATTTTAGTGCTTATAATAAAATTTTTAAACGCTTTTTTAAATATTTTTTAAAGTGCTTATTTTAATGATTTTAAGTGCTATAAGTTCCGAGCCCTGTTAATAACTCTATATAATTCGTATTACATCTCATTACATCATTACTCTAAATTACATTACCTATATTATTAAATAATTCTAGAAGTTTTGTTAACAAATATTAATAAAAAAGGTAGGTTTATATTATAGACGTAGATTATATATAGATAATTTTTATTTTTCATATAAATATACAGTGCTGCAATAACCGGGTGTGTTGCGTATGTCAAACACACGGGCCCATGACCCTAGCTTATAATAGGGCCCAATGATAATATTTTAAAAATACGTAGAAAGCAAGAGAATTAAACCATTTTGTAATAATAATTACTTATTGAAAAATAAATGATTGATTTTGTTTTGTACACATTATCGTACATCAACGTTTTTTTTTACAGCCTGTTTAATCGGAATTAAAAATAGTTTGGTTACAAATACGGTACGGTTTCTCTGCAGAGTCTGGATGCGGGGGAGGGTATTCATTTTACTTACACACGGGCCTAAGTTAGTGTAGTTGCGGCACTATAAATATGTAATCTATGCTATAAAGCACATGTAGGTATCAAGTATTTTGGTAGATATATCATATTATTTAATTAATATGTTCGAGTTTTAATATTATATTATTTTATTTCAGTTTTAAAATTATTTTCTGTTTATAAGTTTTATAATGATTGGAAGTAATAATTTTTTTTAGTACATTTTTAATAATACTTTCTTGGATAATAAAATAAAATATTGAAGCATTTTAAATTAAATTGAATTCACCAGAAAATGAATTAATTGAAATTATCAAAATTAGTAGAAAAAATGTAATGTCTACTAGAATATCGTCTATGGCTTTGTTATATAAAAAAATTCCATTTTGGGAAAATGTTTATAAATTTAGTGGTTTTATTGTATCCAATCTATTTATATAATTGTATAAATTGTACACATTTGATTTCCTTCGCAGCCGATATAACTGCTTAAGTGCCAAGTGGTTGTGTTGAATGTGATCTTGGATCTGTCAGCAGCCAGCAATAATATCATTTCACACGTGATAATGCATTGTAGGTTTTTATTATATTTGTTAGAATTATTATTATTTTACAGCCTGTGTCAACAAATCAAGCCAATGTTTACTCTGTGTTTGTCATCGATGGTCCTATCGTACTATAAGCGCATTTGGTACTGGTGCAATTATTCAAAAAACCTCACACAGTAGTGTATTATCATGCCCATTTCTCTAATAGTGAATTTTAAACCAGCACCTTTTCAAATAGTATCTAAACGATCTGTATTACCAAAGTAGGCAGTGAAATACTAAAATATACTGTTAGATTGTTAAGGAATCAACATTCGCATTTATATAAATCTACGTACATTTTTCAAAAAAACAAATAAAAAGCTTAACTCATTGGCCCAAAAGCACTTTTGACATGATATAAAATAGGTACTATATAATTTTTTATTTTTTTTTTATATAAAAAACAAAAACGTATATGATTTTTAAGGAGTTTAGATTTAGAAAATAAATATCATTTATATATATTATAGCCTCAGTAGCCCCTTCCCTTGAAATGTTAGAAAATAATTTTAAGTTTGCTTTTAATCTATAAAATATAAATTGAAGAAGCTCATATTATCATTGTTTTATGAATTTTTAATTTAAAATTGTCCATGTTATATAGTGTAGGTAAGTATTATTTTCTATGTTTATGTAGGTATTTTATTTTATTAATTTTGTAAATAATAATTATAATTAAGTAGCTATTTAATTTCCTTGTATTTCATTAATTTTATAAAAAAAAGATTTATAATTATACAATAAAAATTAAAATTGTTTTTCTAAAATTCTAATTTTTGTTTTTAATTGGTTCAATTGTGAAATTTTGTTTAGAGGAAATTCTTCAGCCTCCTCCAATATTTAAATAACCCCCCCCCCTTCAATAGGGTTTATTTACTCGATACCACATTACCATACGTAAGATAACTACTATATGAATGAATATTTATAATCAGTTTAAATTTTCATTCTCCATTTAAATTTAAAATTTCCCAACTATAAAAATAATGATTTCTTATTAATGTTTAAGTTATAAATTAGTTTATATAAAATTGAATTTTTTTTCTTGAAGAATAGTGTAATTATTCATAATAATTACAAATATATTCAATAATATTCGTGTCTTATATGTTAATAAAATGAAATATAAATTCCAACTATCTAGTAATAAATAGAGCAGAGGACTTGTATCTCTAAAAAATCCCTAAATATCCAAGTACTTATGCACTTAAAAACCATGTAATATATACTAAAAACATGTACTTATATTTTTTTCAATTTGATTTATTAAAAAAATGTATAAATCATTTGAATTTGCGTAATATTAAATCGTTTTTCACATACTACTTGAACGTCACAATAATTTCAGTATACTGTATGATTTCCTATAGGACTATAGGATTTCCTATATAGGACTATACTGTTAGTCAAAAACACATCAACAGAAAATTCTGTTAAATAACTCTGCTAATAACCAACAACTAAAAGATTATTTATCTTTCGGCATTTTAATATTAAAACAACACACAAAAACAAAAAGCTGACACGAATTACGAATATATGCACATACGGAGATGCCATAACTAAGACTAAAAATCTAAAATAATAAATTATTAACGAACAACGATTGACAAAAGTCAGTGTAATGGAATTTTTTGGTTTCATTTATGCGTCCTGTTGATGATTTTATAATGTAGACAACGTGCTCACTGTTTATAAATTAAAATCGGCAATACTTGAGACGTATTTCTAGGAAAAACCTGCGTCTGCGAACAGTTAACCACCATATTATTTGATAAACTATAAAATAATTAATAAAATGAATAATAATATATGAATAATAATTCATAATATGAAATAAAACATCGACGGGAAATTGTTCATAAAATGATAATTTATTTAAAATATGCATCTGAAAGGAAGTAATATGCCATAAAAATTCTTGAAGTATGCATTAATATGCAAAATAAAATTTCAAGACTAACTTTATAAAAAGTATGAAACGTATTTGATTCGAATTCTGCTAATTTTGTAATTGGGCTAAACAAATATGTAAATACTACAAGTTCTCTGCCCTAGTAAATAATAATATTAGAATACTTATGAGGTTGTTTTAAATCAGTTAATGATATAATCAAAAATGTATGGATAATAAAACATTGGTACCTATATTTATAATATAGTGGTGTGGTTACTGTAACATACATACTATATATAATTAATACAGAACATGTGTCATTTTGTATAGTTTGTTTATACTAATACGAATAATAGTATTTTAAATTCATAATATTGTGTTTATTTAAGTTTTTATGATCAGTGAAGTCGAAATAAAATGATCCATGGGCCATATGTGATTATTTTAGATCTTATTTAAAGAATATATATATGTATAAAACTATACAACTCTGAGTTTAATTCATATGGAAATATTAAAATATAAACAATCTGATGATACTAGATAGTTTTATAACATAAACTAAAAATATTTTTAAAGAGTAATACATTTTTATTTTCCAAGTGTAAAGTAGTTTGGATTGGAGAATAATAAAAACCGTTCAGTCAATATATTTATACATATATATTATATATTCTTTATTAAGTAATAAAAATTACATATTTTTGGAAATATATTAATTATACTCTAACATTTTGTTAATATGTGATTTATAAACTATTAAATGATACACAAGATAACATTTCAATTTCGTTTTCCATAAAATTTAAGTTCATAACTATTATTTTAATACCGGTAAAATATTTTCTAGCCAATATCATGTTCAACGAGTAAAATACGTATATATTTGATATAAAATCTATACCTAATTTATAGAAAAAATACATTTTAAAACTTATACGTATACAGTGGTAATGTGACACTCCAAAAATAATTCAATCTGAGTATCAAATAGGAATATTAAATTTAAAAATTATCGAATATTAATAACATTAAATAATTAATTGTGATTTAATAATTTATCATTTATCATCTATTTATATTATGAGTGTAATATAATATATCTATAAATAATTGTTACATAACATTTAACATTTTATTATAGAAGAAAATAGTGTATATAACCATATACAACCTTGTTTATTAGTGAATACTATTTTAATAAATAACAAAATAAAAAGTAAATTAAAATAATTTAAAGATTAAATTAGATAAAAGTTATACTTGAAAATAACATTAACTATGCACTTGGGCTGAATCTTTCAATATCACTCTTAGAAATAACGATGATATTCATTATTATAAATATGCGTTTATGAAATGTGTATAAAGAACTTACTGCTCCGTCTGCCCATTGCGTATGTATTCACTTCGAGTTATTAATTCCTGAATGTATACACATCACGAGGGCGAGGTGATGACAACTTACATTGGCCCTATTTCCTGTACGACTAGTAAAAATGTAAAGATAGAGAAAGGGAATACAGAACCAAGGGAAAAATATGTGAAGTTTATAACACAAGTACGCCATTCGATGTGGAAGCCATCGTAGATATTTCAACAGTGTAATAAAAATTAGGTGTGTAAAATAAATATAAAAAACTTCGTGGTTATACACATCAGACACCGGAATTTGTATTTTGTATTTCGGTAATTTTAAAATAGAATATTATTTAAAAATAAAATAATCAATATATTGAATATAAATGTGATGTAATATATGATATAATTATACATACTATTACGAGTATAATATAATTAAAATGATATCCATCAAAATTGGAATTAATAACTAATAGCTTTAACATTAAATGTACATTTTAAAGGAATTAGCATAATGTTAGTGAATTATGAGTGTAATAAATTATTAATAGTGAATTAGTTATTAGTTAATTATGTTTTTTGTTGGCCAAGTTCTGTTAAACTATGTATAATATTATTATTAGCCTATGTAGTATGCCTCTCTTACATAATCAGTATACTTAAGTATCTATCATGAATTATAAAATATTTTTCGAAAAATGAATAATCAATGAAATATTTTTTATTTACGTTGAAATATGTGTTTAAAATGCATTTATATTATTTTTTAACTTGGTTGTGTCAACAAATACGAGTACCTGTGCGATACAATTTTAAATTTGTTTAAATTGTATAATATATGTATACTTAAGTCTTTCCGTTTTATTTTTAACAATAGGTAGTTTAATTTTAAATTAGATGATTATCAACTATAATAATTTTTAATTCATATTTAGTAATATATGCAATTCATCAATTACAGAAACGTATGCATTAAAAGATAAATTCAAGGAAATATTGATAATTTGATAGTTGAAAAAATAGTTTTTTTTTAAAAATATATTCAATCTGTTTATAAATTAAAAATAATAGGTAATAAAGATAACTTTAAGGATAATTTACAAACTTGAGTCGCGTGAAGAGGAGACCGCTCATTAACAGAACCTCAGAAAAAAAAATAGTTAAAAATATTATTATATTTATGTTTATATTTGATAATAGTCTACCTATATCAGTGTATCATAAATGTTATAAATGCTCCTGACGAGGTTTATGAGTTGAAAATATATTCAAGGGGTTTGCACATTATTGGAATTAAATATTATATTTCTAACATAACGTAATAAAATTGGCTGTATAGGGAGGAAAAAAAGTTTTAATGATATTTGAACGTTTGTTATAGTACTACGTTTAGTATAAACTATTTACGTACAGAAGGTAGATAAGTCTTTAGATTTTACACGTATATAGTATAATACTAATGAAATTAAAATTATAATAATAATATAGAATTATTGATTACACCTAGGCACGTACACAAGGGAGGGTTTAGGGGTTCAATATTCCATGATATTGAGGAAAATAATTAAATATATTTTCTTAAGGTAATAGTGATATATATATATATATATCATATAAGTATGAAAATATACAATCTAAAACCCTTTAAAAATATATATATTTTTGTTTACGCGCCGATTACACCAGTTACCATAATCTGTCTATGTGATTGTATTTTACTTACAGCGAGTATGTAGTGCGTGAAATAAATAAAAACAAATGAAAATCACGGATGAAGGCGCGTAACATTTAGTCGAGTGTATTACGACAATTTGAATCGGAAACGCTCAATATATATTATTATTACGTGTAAAATATTTTCGTACTGCGTACCTACACGTATGTAATATATATTATAATAGTAGGGGGTGTGTACGAAAGGGGCACCGAGGGGCCGGGACGAACGACAAGGAGGGGAACTTAGCGTACGCCCAGCTCGACGTACAGCCAATCCTGAGCGCCGGCTGATCCCTTAATGGTCCGCGATGGGCCGTGGAACGAGCGAACGACGTTGAAAAAAAAAAATAGAAAAGAACAAGAACGGTGTGACGTTAAAAATAAAACGATCTTGAAGAGGCGGTGTGTCAGTAGTGACGGGAGAAAACGGGATGACAGAGAAATAGACCAGTATTGGTGAAAGGTTCGCGAGTTTCGGTGTTGTTTTTTCGCCACCTTTAAAAATCCGTCTCCCGCGCGTGTTTAAACGTGTGCCGGTGCGTGTTGACAGGACACGCGGATACATTATATTCGTTTGTCTTGTGACTTGAGTTATATCTTTTAAATTTTTTTCTTCCGTTCGTTTCCCGCGACCATAAAAAAATCATCGACCCAGTATTTACGATAAATAATCGTCGACGTCGCGAGTAAATCAGTCGTGAACGTGTTTCTTGTTTCGTGTTTCGTATTAGATAATATTGTTATTTACTTTCTGGGTGTTTACCGCTGCTGCAGATGATGGACACTACTTTTTGAAATAATTTAGTTTTTTTGCTCGCGAGGTCGATAGACACTGAGAAAATAAAAAACAAATTTTATAGTGTTGACAAAATAAATAGTGTTCAAGGGGTGTGTTCACCATCATGCACCCGTTTTATAATGCATACGGCAGTGGTACGAACGTCGAACACCTGTACGAGGACAATAGTTGGATAGCGCCACCGTCCAATACACCGATGAAGGATATCGAAGGTAGGCGCCAAACTTTATTCAGTTTCTCGTGCCAAATTAGATTAATTATATTATATATCATAGACTCGGATGAAATATCCAGAAAAATGTTTTCAGTTCGACCATCGCCGTGTTATACTGTTGACTAAATAAAATGTAACAACCCACATTTATTATTTTATTCATTTTTATTTCACAGTTATTATTTTATGTATTATTCTATGTTTTTATATAATAGGATAATACAGTTCGATATAATTAAGTAGTTTAAAGCTAATTAAGCAAAGTATAAAATATAATCAATTATACGAACATTAAATAATTTAACTATGTACACAGTTATATATGTATATACGAGTATGTATTATGTATCTATATGTTAAACGTTATTTTTCATTTAAATTGAATCATATTAAAAAGTTAATTTCCTAAACATAAATATTTGAAAAAAATTTACTATATAATACTATACGAGTATAGTTTTTGATGTATCAAGCTTATGTTTTATGATTAATCTGAAATAAATTAAAAATTAAAAAAAAAACTGAATTTATAATACTAATACATATTAATTGCATAGCATAAAATTAAAATTAAAAAAATATTCCAATTTTTTTAAAAATTTTTAATTATTTTATTGATATTTCCATTATTATAATATTGTTTCATACATTAACTTACGAATATTTCTTAAATTTCATATTATTTTATAATTAAAAAGTTGAAATACTGTAAAAAGAAAAATTGGTTGTGTTGATTTAAAAATATTTTTTCATTCCAGTAGCAAAATAATTTAACCTTTTTTCGTTTTATATTTATTCTAATTTTTGCACATGTTATTCATAAAGATCAAATAATGAGATGGAAGATGATTTGATTCTTTATAGTCATTAGAGCATTTTACATTCATGAATCCCAAAAATATTATAGGCTTATTTTATTATTCTCTTCCTTATACCTTATTTATTACTTAAAATGCAATATTTTATATAATATTAATAATTTACTATATGTATATATTAAAAAAATAAATACTGTACTAAATTGTATTATTCTATTCAAAAAAATTCCATTGTACCAATATGTTATTTAATCATTAAAAAAAATTTAAAACATACAAGTGTGCCAATGTGCTTTATATACCACACCTTCAAATTAGAATAATTGATATTTTGCCAATCGATTTTATACATTCAAGTTTAATTAATATATCAGATTAAACTATAACAGTAAAATATATGACTACATTATTACATAAGTATTGTACTCAATATTTAAGCTTTTGAACATGTCTAAAATGAACTTTTAACAAAAATGTTTTTAACACAATGGTTAATTTTTCTGTTACATAAATTAAATACCTAGGTACTAATAAATAATAAAAAATTTCAATTCTTTTAAACATTTTTAATCTTACATTTTATTGAACAATATTTTAATCACTTGCGATTGTTATATTCATAAAAAATAATTTATAAATATAACTTGAATAAAATATCTTATTATTTTTACATTATTATTAGTGTATCAAATAATTATTCTAATTTGATTTTATATCATAAATTTTTTTATCGCATTTAAACAAAACGTTTAAACTTTCAGAAGTAATAACTTGATAATTTTAAGATATTTATACAATACATTCCTATAATAAATAAGAGTGACTGTTGTTTAAGTATTTAATAAGAGTAAATTAATTTAATAAAATCTATTATTTTAAACTAATATAATATTATATAATGATAAGTTATAATTATACTATGTATATTGTGTATTTTTCGTTTAAATAAATGTAAAAATATTAATATTGTAAAATATTTATTTATTTAAAAATCAGAATATGCTGTAATTTCAATAGCATTTTCACATTACTACGTTTATTCACGTTTTTGTTGTTTTTATAAAATATAATTACATTTTAACTTTAAAATTTAATTATTTATTTTAAATCCTTTTTTAGTTATTTAAGTTTTAATTATATTTTAATATTATTGATATATATTTATAAAGTTAGGTTATTTAAATTTGTTATAATTTGTTGTTGTAATAATACTAACGATAAATTTTAGATTTCAATTGTGACTTAATTACATTTACAAGGAGTATTTTATACTTTTCAATTGAACACACTAAAACTTCCATATATAAAATAAATTCACTGTTATATAGCTATTAATATTACACTCAATATTGTATAATTTAGAAATGTATCGGTTAATAATTAATATTGATAAAATACAATTCTTACATCAATTTTAATAATTTTACCGATATTTTACTAAATAAAAATTATTTCAAAGTTCAGATATTGAACCCGAATTTTTCTTTAAATAATTATTTCTTTAAATTATTTCTATCACGATAGTGACTTAAATACCTTACAACATTTTAAACCATACAAAAATGTTGATTATTATTTGAATAATGGGTAGCATTGTCATTACTCATGTGTTGCTAATAAATAATATTCCATGGACAAAGTAATTTGTTTAAACTATATAAACAATTTTTTACAACTATAATGTCGTGACTTCTAATTGTGCGGTAATGTGAGGGTAAAAAAAAACCAATAATTGTATTCATTTAATCGAACGCAATGGTGTAGTGGAGCATATATGAGGGTACACGGCGTTTTACGAATTTTCAATTTTTTTGGTTATTACTTATACTTACTAAATAATTTGTGATACATAGATTTACGGGTATACTAGAAAATTTATTAATTATAGAACTATAAACAGTATTAATAAATATTGACATTTTTTTTACAAAAATTAAAAATACCAAACGTATTTCCTTATGATCACGATTATTTAGGAACGGTTATTATTTTTACATTTTACACGTCTATTTTTAATTGTTATGCACAGACTTTTAGTTATACAGCTGCAAGACGCTACAATAATCTTAAATTGAATTTTATTTATTTTAAATTTGTATCTTTATTTTGTTAGCTTATCTTATTACTTTGGGGGTAGGAATTAAACCAGCTCACACTTTTTACTTACAATTAGTGTATACTCAAGACTTTTTTTTAGGACTACATCACTGATTCAATGTTTTCTTCAGTGCCGTAAATATCATAAGTGCAGGCGGTACACAGGACTGAGGCCCGCAGGATCAAAAGGCCCATAGCAGATAGCCGTCAATTTTTTTTTTAATTTGATTTAATTTGATTCATAATTATTTTATTATTATTTTACTTTTAATTTTATAAAACAAAATGTAAAATTCTGATCCAATTTATTTAGAATTGTTTATTTAAATATTGGGAAAACTACTAAGCCTAGAGTGACATAAAAAGATTATATTTATATATATACTTTTATATTTTATTGTAATTCATATTTATAAAATCAATAATCATATATTCATATTATATATTTTATCTATCTTTGTAGTTTATTCTAAAAGTATTTTTATTTATAAAATCTAACCAATACACAATTGTGATCTTGTATACCTACTAAGTTAAAACTTTACACAGAATTGTTCCAGCGAGAAAATTAAATATCGATTTTTTAAAATTCCGTACGTCCACAAATACTATCCGATCTAAGGAGTAAAAAATTCCCATAGTGTGAAGTCAAACCGACTTTTTTATGTATCTTAAGAAAGAGGGGCCCATGTACATTTGTCTGTACTTAGGTATTTGACACTCTAGTTTCAGCACTGATCTTCTTCGTTTATTATTCCTTTCTTATTCGACGAACTCATTTGGAGACAAACTTATTAATTTTAATTTTAAATAATATAATAATAAAAAAATTTAATTAAAATTAAAAATTATTATATGGTCAATACTCGTAAATTAATATAAATGTATAAATAAATAAACAAATAGTTTATATAAATAAATAAATAAATAAATAAAAGTTTAGCCTGGAGCATTATTATATTTAGTACACTTTGTAAGATGTTATTATACTTTGAAAATATAATAATTTTCCAGACTAAGCTTTTATTTATTTATTTATTTCTATACTTACACTATTTGTTTATTTATATATATTTTAATTATAAACTAAACAATTAACTATTGATAACATATGTTACCTATTTAAAAAGGGAGGAATAAAGTTAAAAAAATATAAAATTGATATTTCCTAAGACAAATCATTCGGATTTATTTAATTTTTTTTTTTTTTTTTGACCCCATAAGGACTATTTATATTTTTACTATGAGTAAATTAAGCGCATAAATAACAAAACCAATGGCTTTTAACTATTAGAAATTTTCGGTTTTGTAATTATAGGGCCGACGTAAGGCTAAATGACGCCCGAGGCCAAAATGCCAACTGGCGCCTTTTTCATACAACAACCCGTAATATCATTATACTTAGAAAAAATAATATATTATGCTCAACTTGTACATCATTTGTTATCGTCTAATTTTTAGTCATGACGGCTCGACGTGATCCCGATTGAACGATTACAAATATTTGGGAATTAAAGCAACATATACGATAAAACATTTTATGCTAAACCATAGTAAATATACTTATATTATTTTAATATACGGCTAAACGAAATAACCATAACTATTATTAATATTTCAATACAAAGTTATAGGTATTTTACATTAAAAAAAAAAAATAATATTACTAACATATGTGCAAAATTGTAAAAACATTTTGGCGCCCCCCCTGAAAATGGCGCCCTAGGAATTCACTTGAGCCGCCTTACACTCACGCCGGCCTTGTGTAACTTAAATATTTTGAAATATTTAATGAAAATGCAATAAGTATAAAAATGTATTAATAATTTAAATGATAATTCATTTCCTGTTTAAATTATTATAAAACGAAATGTAACTCAGTAAATGAAAAGCATGAAGGAAATATAATTAATTTTTTCAACATTTTATTAGAATTTGAATTATTGAATAAATTCATTGTATAATTATTTTTATTTAAAATTTGAAAAAATATTAGTAAAAAATTGATAAAAATAAATTTAAGAATCATTTTATTCCTACAGCATGCTTAGAAACGGTGTCGAGTTCAAATATTCAAGCAATTAAATCTAGTTCTCATCAATCATATTTATCATCAGACAGAAAAAGATTAGAAATCACAAATAGTCAAGAACATCCAAAACTTTCTGGGGTTGGTGCTGCATTAGAAATGAAACATTTATGGGAAGAATTCAACGAACTTGGTACAGAAATGATCGTCACTAAAGCTGGCAGGTATAAAAAATGGACGTTTGAATAAAATACATGTATAGTTATTAAGATTTTTTTTTTTTGGAACTTAAAAACATTTTGAATATATTTCAAACAAATATATATTTATAAGTAATATTTTTCAACATTTTCCTAATTATTAAGCTAAGTAATTTATTTGAAGATTCCTGTTGATACATCTGTTCATACATCCTAGATATACTTAATATTTTTCATATAAAAAAAAAAATAAATCACATCAAAATAAGTAAAGTATATTAAAATATAAATTTATATACAAGAGCATACATATCATATATGTATCTGCTATACCAATTACGCTTTTGAAGTTCCAATCGATTTCTAATTTATCATTAATAATAAGTTTACATCTTGGAGACATGAACGAGCGTATTTAAGTTAAACTAGATATTTTTATTTTGAAATATTATTAATAATATTTATTTTAAAGTATTATTCTTATTATTATTAATAATGATTTATAAGTAAAAATAATATTTTATTTTAATTCAATTATTATTAATCATAACTATACATTTCCTTTTATCGAGAGACATTTCAATCGAAATTAACATATTCAAACTCTAATATTAATAATTAATTGATTGTACGCACCTATATAGTAATCCTTATATTATATCAAATATATTATAAGAATAATAATTTAACCATAATAATAGCGAAGAAAAGAAAAGCTAAATATCAAATCATTCTATAGTTAATAAAATTAGCCTATATTTTCGTAACTTTAAGATTGTCATTTTAATTTTAATAATTAAAAAATAATTTAGCATGAAGAACTATATATATACTACACTTTTATACTCAATATTATGAATATAAATTTAAAAGTTAATAAATTAAAAAAAGCTTATTATTACATATTACAGAAGAATGTTTCCTACATTCCAAGTTCGATTATATGGTCTGGATCCAGTAGCAGAATACATGCTTATGATGGATTTTGTTCCAGTAGACGACAAAAGATATAGATACGCATTTCATAGGTAATATATATTATATTATAACGTCATATGCAATTTATGGTTCAAATTTAAACAGATTTTGTCATTGTATGTATGTATATTATGTAGTTCAAGCTGGGTTGTTGCTGGTAAATCAGACCCTATATCGCCCCCTAGGGTACACATCCATCCAGATTCACCAGCGTCCGGAGGTCAATGGTTAAAACAAGTGGTGTCGTTTGATAAACTGAAGCTAACCAATAATCAGATGGATGACAATGGACATGTATGTATAAAGTCACACATTTTCAAACAAAATATGGGCTATATTTGGGTTATAATTACAATATGGCTATAAATTAAATTTGTTATGTATAACAATTGCCTAAATTTTACGCCGTGTTCAATTCAGCATTTTTTATTATCTTTTCCTATTTACTTTTTACTTAGATAATCCTTAATTCAATGCATCGATACCAACCCAGATTCCATGTACTCTACATTCCAGGACGAGACGAAGGCCCTTCACATTCCTCAAACAATTTTAAGACGTTTATGTTTCCGGAGACTAAATTTACAGCTGTCACTGCTTATCAAAACCATAGGGTGAGTGAAACAACAATCACAATAATTTTTTTTTTTATTAATGCTTTAAAATGATAATGTATTTTATTTTTAATTTGTTCAATATTTAATTTAAATGAAATTATATATTTCAAATACTTTATTTTGTATATCTAATAATAATTTTACTATATAGTATATTATTTAATTTGTATAGTTATAAGGCATAATGCTACAAATGATAAAAATGTAAATTTGCAACAAAAATAAAATAAAATATATCTGATGCACAAAGTAAATAAATTATTAGTGATATTAATTTATATTATATTTTTTTACATAAACTTATAGTTAAGTAAGTAAGTAAGTTAAGTTAAGTAAGTTAAGTAACTTTTAAAACTTATAGTTATGGGGTTTTAAAAAACTTTTATAATTAATAATTTTTATTTTCTTATTTTGCTTTTATATGATACTTATTACAGTTAATACTAATTATTGTAAAACTTTGTAAGTAAAGTAATTTTATAGTTGTTTCTTTCTCCGAGATAGTAAAAATCTAAAATTCTTATATAAATTTAAAAAAAATGAATAATTTCATTAAAAATCAATATAACACGTCCATCATAATTTTATATCATTAAAGAATGTATTATTTTGATATACTTTTAGTAAATACTTGATAGTGAATATAGTACCTATTTAAAGACTTGTATCAAGAGTTAATATATAATATAACTTAATTATGTAAGTACAAATCGTAACATTTTATGTATGTGTGATTAATATTTTTCTAAGCAAATTTATATGTAAAAAGTTAACAACATTTATATTTCATAAGTATAATAATTAATTTTTTTTGAGATATTTTAAAATACATTTTTTTAATTCCCGGCTTGAACAAATAAATTAACTTTAAAATTTTTTTTTTTTTAGATTACACAATTAAAAATCGCCAGTAATCCATTTGCAAAAGGCTTCAGAGACTGTGAAACTGAAGAATGGTAATATATAGTAAATTTTTTGTAATAACATCAATAGCTTTATTGAATAAAGCATTATAAAAGTTTAGTGCAATACATACGTGATGTATTTCTTAGACTATAGAAGCCACTATATTATAAATCTTGAGAGATTTTTTTCCCGTTCTTCATTCCACCCTCTTGGAATGATCCCAAGCGTTACTAATTGACACCGGTATGCTATGCCGATCCTAAATATACATATTATTATACATTCACAAGTAAATTAGAAATACATTTAAAAAAGGTGAAGATATATAACACAAGTTAATTAAAAAAACCCCTTTTCTGGCAATCATTATAGGTGTGTTCATGTAAACTGGCACATAAATTGCAATAAATGTCGGTTTATTATATGATTTTTGGAATGAAAATTTTGTTCTTTTTTTATACTTGACATATTGCTTTAAAAATGTGAAACATGTGTCTGTATCTGTGTGTTTCAGTATGTGTGGGCGTGTATGTGTTTTCGATTGTATTTTTTTTTTCAAAGAGAAGTTAATATTATTTTTATTTTTTACAGTGGCCCAATGTCTATTGACAACGAACCACAAGCCGCTAATAATAAATCGCAATGCAAAAAAAGTGTCACTGGAATACATAACAACAATAATTGCTCTCAGTTCCCAAATAAAGAGTCAACCGGAAATTTGGGTAAGTTTTTTTAATTTTATTAAAGCCTTAAAAAATATACAAAAAACACATTAATATTCTAGTAAAAAATGTAAATAATTTTTATTTTAAATTACATTTCTATAGATCCCATTCATAATTTCAAAGGTCTTATTAAAGAAAATGTATATCTAAATTAGGCTGTTTTACGTAAACATTTTATTTAAAAATATAAATATGTCTAAATTATGAGAAAAAACAATTCTTAAAATATAACATATTTTTAATTTTTTTTTTAAATACAAATATTTTAAGCCTACTACTTCTTTATAAATAAAATTACTAAAACATATTTGTATTGGATGATTTACAGAAAATTAAATAAATTAAATTACTGAATCTAAAAAAAAAAAGTAACGTATAAATATATTGTTAGTTATACATTTAATCAAATACAATATACTTTCACAACATATTTAGACGAGATAATTTTAGTATTAATATACTATAAATACTAATAATAATTTCAAAAGTATAAGAAGACCTTATTTTTGGTATCCTTTTAATAGTTTCATGCTCAACGCCTTCATATTCAAATTAATGTCTTAATTTTTTACTTTTAGTTGCTATTTAAATCTTGTCCATCGCTTTAAAACGTAAAAAAATTTAAGTTAAAAAACCTTTACGGATACTAACAGTGTCGTTGTACACAAAATTACGCTACTTGCACCCGAAAACTGTCATTAATTATCAGAGTTGTCCATGGTAGTCATTTATCATAATATTTTCGAGAAACGTTAAATAGGCACAACACTGCTGACGTTCCGTCACATTAGCAGTCTCTCATCCGTTTCTAAACGAGACAATTCAAGACCATCTCATGCCCATATTAGTATACCAAGATAATTAAAAAATAAATAAATAAATAAACAACTTGAAAGATTCTTAATGAAAGCAGCAAATTGTATAATTTGTAGATTTGAAATATAACTGGAATTTTAATTTAAAATGATTTTGAAAATAGATTAGTTTTACTCAAAAGCAATTTTTGATACAAAATTAGTAAATTTAATAAAATGTAATAATAAGCCTCTCTCTGCATATCTTAAAATTAACTTGATTTTTTTCAAATGTATAGAAATTGTATTATACGAATTGTATATAGATAAAAATAAGATACGTACTGGTAACATAACATTTATTTTTTTGCACTTAGCATTGCAAATTCTAAATTTTTTGGTACAAAACTTCAAATTATATAAATATATAATATTTTTTAATGTTACTATAATAATTTATAAGTATTATTAATTAATTTAAGTTATCGAATGACAATGTAAGTAAATTAATTTAAGGTGTGACTCATAGGCAAAATTATAAATTTTTTTCTTTTCTTTAAATTGTTATAATTTAACTTCATATAGTACAGCCAACAAGTACTTTAAACTATTATGATTTAAGAAAAATTAGTTTGAAAATGTTTATAAGTTCATTATTTTTTTTTTTTCAAGACTGTGATTTCTGATGCCCGGTGCCAAGATAAAATTATATATGACAAATTAATTTAAATTTGAAAGCAGTCACCGTTGTGGGTATTAAAGATAAATTATTATTGCACCACCCGAACGTTTATCCGAACAAAAAACAAAATATCATACATTATAATGTATATAAATAAAAATATCTTTGTAAGCTGAGTCGCGACGTCTATGTCAAAATATGTGTGACGTCCTATACCGTTTCCGACAGCAGTCTTCACCACATCCCTCTATTCATTTTTTTCAGCCTAAAATTATGCCAATAAAATGCATGTATACCAGTTAAAAATAACGATTTTCACTCCTTGATTTGAAAAAAAAAAAAATCTTAAATCCTATCAATTCTATTTAATAATTCTACACCACTTTGAGCCTTCACAAAAAGTCATTTGTATTGAAACCAACTAACTGTCAAAAGAATTAAAAAGTTATTTGTATTAAACGTTGGAGTTAGAAAAAAGTTCCCTTTACTACAGGCTACAATATATTAATATTTATCAGTTAGATATAAAATAATAATATTAAATAAGTAAGAATAAGTATTTAATGTTAAAATTATTGGCTATTTAAATATAGGTATTTTTGAAAAATAATTCGTAAAATATGTTTTTTTTTAAAAAAATATTTATTAATATTTTATCTAAATATTGTCATTTTATTAAAATAATATAAATAGTAATATTCAAAAGTATTGAATTTAGTTCGGAAATGAATCTTTGAGCTAATTAAAACATAATTTTTTATCAATTTTTCTACAAAAGTTAGTTTTATTCAGATAATTTTTTAATGCAGAAAAAATAATCCCGAAAAATTCATATTGTATTACTCTTTTTATAAGAAATACACATATAAAATATTTATAATGAATTAAAATATACCAAATAATAAGTGATAAGTGGAGTGTAGTAATTTTAGTTTTATAAAATGTTATGTATATACCCACCATTTTTGTATTCCTTTTACTTTCGTTCTAACGACTCAGTAGTCTCTATTAGAATGATAAATGTGCATGATGCCGCCTCACAAATCTTCGAGGTCATGTAGACGAAAATCCTACTGGATTAACTAACGTTTACAGAAAAAATAAAATACCCATAAAACATCTAGACATCCTAATTATGAGTCGTTAACCTAAAAATAAAATTGCCTTATTATAAACTAATATATCCTCTAATATGTATATAGTAGTATAGATATTTATAAATAATACCAATATTAATTTTTCCTAATTTTATACGAAAGTAGTATTTTCTATATGTATTTATTATACTTAAGTCGTATTAAAATTATTCTTATTAAATAATAACTAGATCTTAGGAAATTTGAGTAAAATAAGAGTAATATAATTTTACAGTAATGAATGAAACAGGTTGAGGTAAATGAAAAATAAGTAATTTAAGCTACGTTAAAAGTTTTTATATTATTTTTCATTCTCAACAAATTTCAATAAAACTAAAGAAATAACCAAAACAATTTTATAAGAAATAAAATGGTTAATAGGCAAATCAAAATCTACTTAATTACATAATTTTTAAATTATTACACGTTTTATTTGAAGTAATAATTCACAATATCTTAATACAACGAATAAAATATAAAAATTAATAGTTATCTTTTAAAGATTTTTATTTAAATACTGAGGCCTTCAATTATGAGTTAAATAATTCAATTTTGTTTATGTACTATTTTTTTAAGTAATTGTCTACGGTTACGATAAAGAAATGAAATAACTTTATAAAAATAAATATTATTAAATAAAATAACACTATCCAATACAATTTTTTTTTTTTTATTTAAATAAATCTTTTGCAGCAGTAGCCAACGGTATCATTCTCCATATTAAATTATTAGGAAATATACCATATCATTTACAGTACCAAATGAGAGTATTGCAAGTGATGTGCTTTAATTTTTCTAATTTAATTTATATATTTCATTACTTTTTACATTATATTTTTAATTTGATCAAAAGTTCTTATTTTGTTTGGATTTCATATTTATGGGTTTTAGTATTTTTTTATTCTCATTATTCAATCTTGTCTCTTTACAATCATTGTGTTAAACAGTGTTTTAGACAGAAGGAACTGTGTGAGGTATGCGTCTGAATAACTCGAATTAGTAAATATTTTTTCGATGACTGCGAACCTATTTTTTCCCATGGGACTACAGCAGTCTCAAGTAGTTTTCGATATCCTAACCGTGGGTACCAATTTTGAATCACCAAACATGTCAACGGAATGGGCTACTTCTATACATGTTTCTTTCACTATAAAGTAAAGTGGAAAACATGTACCTATTAAAAACTATTATACATACACGATAATAACTGATTTCAACACCTTTTATTATTGTTGAATTATTCTACTTGTGATTCTCATGATAATGCTATTATCATACAATAAGTTTTTCAATAAAGTCTTTAAATTTTTTTACTTTCTAATTACATTTTATGTATTAATACATTTTTAACTTATTACTTTTATAATAGTAGGTTAAAACCCTATACCGGTATATAAAAGTTAATAATTTATGTTATTTTAATTCCGTATAGGTAATATGTGTGCAACAAAACTTGCATAAAAACATAAAACATCTGTATACTTCCAAATTATTTATTTAATTTACAAAAAACTGTATAATGTATAATATAATAATATTTAAAAGTTAGTGTGATAGAGCATATTTAAAACAAATTACTGAAAAAACGTACCAACATTTTATTTATAATGCCTTAAAATTCTATTAATTAATTCTATTCTATATTATATTGAAACAATTTTATTTGAAATTCTCAATACCATTATAATGCGAATAGAAAAATGTAAATAAATGAAATCTTTTACCTAAAAATGGCTTTTAATTCTTCTTATGTAGTATAATTTTATAGTTAAACAATATTCATTGGTTGTAAATTAAGATAGTACTATGATGCAAGGTTATTGAAAGACGGACTAAATAATTTTAGGAGTACATTATAAGAACTAACTGCCCGACTCATACGATTTCGGACTTCATACCTTGTACTAGGTATATATTTATCGACCCCTATATCCATATACGAACAGTAAATGTTAGTTATAAACAGTAAACCGTTTTCTGTAAAATTAGCTACGATTATTATGAAGAATGCAAAATATTGTACATTCTTATGGCACATTTTCTTTTTTTTATATATTATGATGGATATAAGATGTATATTATTTTAATTATGTAAAACGTTCGTAAAAAATAAATTGCAAGGCACGTGCCATGTAATATATATATATATATATATATATATATATATATATATATATATATATATATTAATGTGTGATCCAAACAGGCACAGAAAACGTGTACAACAGCGACAGTTCATCGTCGTCGTCACCTCCTCATCTGGGTACGGCGCACGGTCATCCGCAGCAAGTGGCCCCGACCGCAACAGGAGGGATGACGGGATCGACGGCGACGGTCCCCGTCACGCCCTACTTGAGCCAAGTATGTAATTATGGACCGATATTCGCATCTTCTGCGTACGCACATCATAACTATTCGCCGTTTCACGGATACGACAGGTAAACACTTAACTATTATACGTATTATACAGTCAAATCGAATGTAAGAGTATGTAGGTAGATTGTTATAAGAATTTTTTGCATTGATTTTGCAGAAAACCAATGCCAGATATTACATGAATAAACTTACATTTTTATTTTTTTTTTTATTTTTCTTATTTTCTATTATAATATTAGATTATTATTATTATAAAGAAATAATAGAAAAACATATAACAATTATAAGACCTTTTATTTGCTCATCAAAAATATCTCCTCCTAAAATCTCCTAGATGTCGATCACCAGTGACTAAAAATTTCGGATGTAGTTCACTTATTTTAAAATTTTGGCGACCCCTGGTGCATAATGATATCTAATATAACCATAATTCTAATATAACTATGATGTTGTTTTGATATGAAATTTAGTTTCACATTCATCTATAAAAATATCTGTAGAAAAAAAAACCGTTTAAAAATGTCAAAAACTTGATAAGGTCGATTAAATTAATTCAATGCTGAAATTCGATCGTCTATAATGAATACATGCAATAGACTAAATCCATGGATTGCAATGTGTATTAATATTGTAACATATAAAACTTCATAGGTGATCATGAAGTAGGGATCATAGATCTCCATTGGCCTTTATTTTACACTATTTTAGACGTATTTCATTTAAATCGACTTACTTTATATGAATATTAATAAGTTCATCCTATCCCATATGAAAATTCTAGTAACGTCACTGCGAAGGGTTCTATTATCATCGACTCGTACGCAATATAATAGCATACCAGATGTAAGCGTATACATACACGTGGCACAACTAAGTAATGAATTGAAGCACTGCATGTGGCTCATTGTATATTATTTGCAGAATAAATATATATATATATAGGATCCAAATTACGAAAAAGTATTAAAATTTAGTATTATTAAATGTAATATACATACAAAAACTGATCAAAATAAAATGGTTGATATAAAACTTATTAATTGTGTATAATTATTATATTAGTTAGTAAACTTACATAGTTACATACCTATACAGTTAAATGATATAATTGTAATTTTCCTTTATTTGTCTTTTATTCACGTCAAACTTATACGAGTATCAAAACAACGATGAACGAATCTCTCATCGACGGCTAATAAATTTCTAGTATAGTATAGAATCTATACTAAAGATACTCTAAATTGAGTATAATAATTATATTTCACACAGCCATATTAATTACTACAGTAATAAAGGAAACAATTCAATCTTTTCGAAAGGAACAGCAATGAGGAATTAAAATTAGCGATGGAATTACTATTAGTGATGAAGAAATTTAAGTTGGCGCCCATCGCTGATTATCTAAATATATAATACTAATCCATACTTTTATCCTCACTATCATACTAGTATATGAATTGTAAATATACATCGTGAGTCAAATGATCAGTCAAAAAAAAAATAATTACGCACATTACTATATACCTAATGAGCACATGGACTTATATATAATAGAAAAATTTACTGAAGAAGAACGTAGTTTTATAATAAACTTCTTTACATTTATCGTTTAGAAAATTTAAAAATTATAATTTTGATATAGAAAATCGAAATGGTTTGTTAATTATATTTTTTAAATAATAGATATAAACGCAGCTAAACGATTTTAATGAGTACTTAATGCGATTCATTTCCTGAGTTGAATAATCATTAATATTATAATAGATATTAATTTGTTATAATTTCATTGCTATTAGTTCAATAAAATGAAAACATATAATTCAATAATATATTATAGTGATATGTCATAAGCGTGCACACGGGGTAATCAGGGTAGGCACTTGACTACTCTGTGAACCTTCTCTCCCTCTCCAAAATATTCAATATTATCATAACAAGAAATAACCATAATATGTTCAACCACTTCGAAACGTCCGTAAACGGTAAATAAATGTATAAGAATATCGGAAAAATATAATTATTTAGTTAAATTAAGTTAACTCATCCAAATTTGTTGTTAGTATTAAATGTTTATGTGTTATATACGACTACCTTGCCAGTAATGTCTACGCACGCTTATGTGATATATTTAATACATTTTTACATTTTTATTTTACATTTATTATTGAACACATAATTGCTATAATCGTCAACACGAGTTTTTAATTTGTACTATATTAATCATTAATGTTAATATTATTAATATTCATAATAATAAAAATCGATGATAAACTTTCTTAATTAAAAAATGATTAATTTCTTTAAACTATTGAATAAATACGTTTTTATAATTTTTTTTATATTCATGACTTCGAATATTTCCAACTGTAGATTCAAATATAGTAGTCAGTAAATGTATGAATACATTGTATTTCCTAATTTATACCTACTATACTTATAAAGTATTTACTCTAATAGATACCAAATAATATATTCTAACTTAAATTGTGTAGTTAAGATACCTACCTTATGTATATATATATATATATATATATATATATATATATATATACACACATATATTATTGTTATGTAAACATATGATTTTCTATACCTATAATACGATTATATTTAATGTTTTTTAGAAAATGTACATAACTATAATTTTTTTATTTCTCAACCTAGATTACATCAGAAGAATTCTAATACAGACGTAGCAACCGGATACCATATGTCCTACCAACATCATTACCACCACAGACCTTCCTCTTTTCACGGAACTCAGAAAGCATCCAATGCGTTTTTGCAAAATGATTATACACCCAGGTAGTCATGTGTCACTGAAATAGTATATAGATTTTTTTCTTTTATATATAAATGAATTGTAATTATTTGATTGTATATAATAATTAATTAAACATAATATGTTATCTGAAAATCAATCCATTTCCTAATTGTTATTTATAGATATTTATAATACAGGATTGTATATTTTTGTACATAGTTTAAAGACAATTAAAACTTATACACATCAATGTATAAACACTGTGAACAATAATATAACTACTGAAATTAAAAAAAAAAAATGTAGTATACTTTATTAAATTAGTTACAACATTTCATATTAGTAATGTAATTATATTAAACTATTTGAGTTTGATTAGTATCAAAGCTAATTGATACTATAAGATTCAATTATGAAATCAAATGATTAAAGTAATTATAAAAAATTCTATAATTAAAGTGAACTATATTTATACAAAAAAGTATGATAATTTATTTACACTGCGTTTTTATGTTTTATTATTTATTAATATTCGGATTATAATTATTTTATGTTGAAATCACTCAATAGTATTTTAATTTAATTTATATAAAATTATTTTAATTATAATTAGTATGTGATAAAATAAACAATAAATTCAAGTTTCTAAAAAAAAAATGACGAAAATCGATAATTTATTATATTTGATAAACCATTAAAATAGAATTCATTATATTTAGCGAGTGTCTAGTTGAGTTTTTGGTCAGATCACCTTTGAAATACAAAATACGAGAAACATGACGAGTTTCAAACACCCTAACATATTTTATGTGTTGCAATGACTGATGGTGGGTAGGTGCAGAGGTCGCGTGTGCTTTTTCAAGATACCACCCGTGTGTTTCCCGCTGCAACCCATTAAGGGGACGAAATCACTCTCCCTCAGTCCATCAGCTGTTGGTTTAAACGATTTTTACAAGACGGCGATTGTAGTTTCCCTTCGCTAACGTTTAATCATTATTGAGGTCCACAGACTCTGAAAACATAACATTGCCTGGGCTGTTTATTTTATTTTCATATATTTATTCTTACGCATATAATATATTATTATATTCATTTTTGACCAAGCAAATAAAAATATTTGAAGCCCAAATATCAATTATGACCTGTAAAATTTTTCTTTGTATATTTTGAATTTTCTATAAAACTATAGCAATCTAATCCAGATATAAAAAATGATTTATATTGAAACATTTGAAACAATAGGTTTAAATTGTTGTTGAAGTAACTATTGAATTAGTATTGCTATAGGATATTATAAGAGAAAATATTATTAAAAATTTTTAAGAATAATAAAATAATAAAATTGACTATTGAAAATATATAACCAATAATTGTTTAGCTAATTTACTAGCTTTTGTTAGCTTTGAACATATAAATTTAGCGAAATAAAAAAAATCACATATTTCTTTTTTTCAAGTTTAATTCTGTTTTATTTGAAAATTCAAATGAATAAGTGTTCAAAACTATTTATTGAATAATATTACGAATAATTATTGATTTAGAATGGATAAGAGTAGAATTTTTTTAAATTATACCATCCATAACGTTTTAATAGGATTAACTATTCAAACTATCATAAAGTATTTACTACAGCTTGTTTATAACTATTTTTTTTAATGACTTGACCACATTTAGATGTCATCAGGAAATGTAATTATATGTATTTTATTTGTTTAAATGACACTGCACCGTAAAATGCTTTAAATCTCATCGTGCATGCAGTAAGACCTAAAATATGAAGTATATATGTAGGTGCTAAGATTAGTCTTGGTAAACAGCAAAACGATTATGTAATGGCCGTTAAAATACATTATACTGCTTGCATTAAAGCGTAACGAAATTACATTAAGTTCACATGTCCAAGAATTGAAGTCGAACTAATATAAATGTCTTCATAAAAAAATCTTCAAAAGGACTTGTTTTATAGACTTGTTTTTTTTGTTTTTGCCCACATCGTATAGTATTGCAACGGGCGATTGTAAATTCCGCCCGAAATGAATAGGTAAAAACAAGGTCTATGGTAAAAATATACAGGTACAAAAATAAATTTGAAAATTCCGCCCGGAAAAATAAATATTTTTAAACTAAGCGTTCCGTGACTGTAAGTTCGAACGAACACGAAACAATCGTATCTCAGACAACAATTATAATGTAAATATATATAATTAACATATAATAGTGTGATGTATAAAACAATAATTTTTAACTACGCTAATGATTACTAAATGGCAATAAATGTAACTAAATAAAATAAATCTAACCCCTTTAAATGCATGATAATTTTATTGAAATACTTTTTTGAGCACAACTGCAGTTTGACCATTACCTTTTTTAAGCCCAAGTGCAATTCGACTAAAATAAGTGCAATTCGACCATACCCACTTCATCTATCTTAAAATCTAAACTACCTATAAACAATAAACTTATTTCATACAAATCAACTGCTCACTGTTTCCAGGTATAGGGTTGTGCCTAATAATCTCAAATCAAACCAATCTAAAAAATCCAGTCAATATCCTTCTGATAATTCATGTAAAAAAGATAATAAAATAATGTAAATAAAATGTAAAATAATAATAACTATCAGCAAATGTGTTTATTTTACAAATAATTGTTATATATATATATATATTGTTTTAAACGAAACATTTTTTTTTATATTTAATTGAGTATTACTGTGAATTTTGGCTTTTAGCATAAAATTAATAGTATTAATATTTTTGTACGATGCAGAGCAAATTTAAACATTATACTTTTTTGTAATTATAATCATTCAACTTAAAGACACATGTATCCATAGGCGCCGACTACACGGGGGCAACGGGGGCAATTGCCCCTGTACTTTAATTTTAACGTGGGCGTTGCTCCCGTTCTTCGATTTTAATGGGTGGTAAAACGTAGAAATAGCACTTCGCTTTTGTGAAAAAAATTATTTGGTTATTACTTATTATTATAAGCTATTGAATTTCGATATCGATATGAAAATGTTTATCAAAAGGACAAATTATCTAAAAATAGCTGAACATAACTCATAAGATACCACAAATTATAGATAACGTATAAGTACATTTATATATATATGAATAATGTATATAGCTCCAATTAGAAATGCCTAATAGTCACGGTAATGACGAAAGACTTGTGTGATAACTATATATATACTTTATACACACGCACAAACTGAAACTTAATAACAATATCTTTAGTTGGAATTATTTATAACCTGTACTATGATATTTTCATTTCTTCTAAATTATATTTACTATTCTACATTTATACAGTACTGATTACTGAATACTGAGTATTACATTATGTAATTCAGTAGTTGATCATTTTACTGTCGCTGTCCATACGAAGCATACGTGCTTTATTCGCAGATTGACAACACTAAGGTAATTTATATTTTCTTTATAGACCATATTATTTAATATATGAGTTAAAAATTATTTAACTTTTGAAGGGCATACCAAATAAGTAATTCAGACACAAAATAATTCATTATGTCTATGTGGAAGTATGTACAAAAAAAAAACTATTCCGAAAAACAATTCTGATTCTAATAGCCTTATTAATTCTGATAATAGTTTATCTTCATCTACTTCCACTTCTAACATAAATTTAAATTGTGATAATCAAATTGATTGTGGAAATAATTCGTCCTCTAAAGATGTTTCAAAACAAAGAAAATTTTTAGCATCTTGGTTAAATAAATACGACTGGTTAGAACATAATAAAATCGATGATAAAGCTTTTTGCAAATTGTGTAGATCCATGAGTAATAATAGTAATAATAATGTTTCTGTATTTATTTCCGAGGGTTTTAGTAACTGAAAAAAAGCTGTTGAAAGGTTTAATATGCACGAAAATTCAGAATTGCACAAAACTAATGTAGTTAAAAACTCTTTTATTAAAACAAATGCAAATATATATGCACAAATATCGGATAGTCATAAAAAGTCTATGGAAGAATCTAGATTAGCTCTTGATAAAATAATATCTTCAGTATTTTTTTTGGCAAAACAAGGCTTAGCATTATGAGGGCATACAGACGAATCTGCAAATTTAAATCAGTTATTAAAACTTCGATCGGAAGATTCGACTGAATTAAATAACTGGTTAGGTAGAACAAAATATAAGTGGATTTCTCACGATATAATTAATGAAATTCTTAGCATGCTGTCATTAGAAGTCATTAGAAATATTATCAAACAAATTAAAGAAAACACATTTTATGCCATTTTATTAGACGAAACTAGTGATATTACTGTCAAAGAACAAATTTCGTTTTGTTTAAGAACAGTGGACAAAGAATCGTTGGAAATCGAAGAATATTTTATGGGTTTTTACGAAACGCCTAAAACAGATTCTGATACTCTTTTCAAAATTATGAAAGATATTTTGTGTAGATTGGAATTAGATTTTTATAATATTAGAGGACAATGTTTTGATGGTGCTAGCAATGTTTCTGGAATTCATAAAGGATTACAAGCTAGAATAAAAGAAATTGAACCAAGAGCATAGTTTGTTCACTGTCAAGCTCATTCTTTAAATCTTGTTACCCAAGATAGTATGCGAAATGTAAAAAATGCTAGAGATGTACTAAATTTTATAAGAGAATTAATTACATTTATTAAACAATCACCTAAGAGACTATCTTGGTTTAAAACGAATCAAAAAGACGAAAATATGACATCTCTAAGACCATTTTGTCCTACTAGATGGACGTTACGATATACTTCTCTGTGCTCTGTTATGGATAACTACAATGAGCTATTGACATTTTTGTCAGATTTTTCAAAAACTGAACACAATGATGCAGGTTCAAAGGCAAATGGATTTTTCAAACAATTAAAAACTGCAGATACTTATATAATGCTTAAAATAGTGATAAGTATTTTTAAACACATGGAGACTACAAATACAGTATTGCAAAGTAAATCATTAGATTTTAAACTTTCTGTTCAAATTCAATACTTTAGAAGATACTATTTCAAATTTGAGAGATACATTTCACATTTTATGGAAATCTGCAAAGAAAGAATGGTCAGATTTAAAATTAGATGCACCAAAGGAATCTAGAAAACGAAAAAAACCTCAAAAATATGAAGACGGAGTAACAAAGTCCTTTGAATTTTCACCTGAAAGTAAATATAATCAAATACATAAAGAAATCATTGATCATATACTTTCTGGCTTACAACTAAGATTTAACTCTGAAATTCGATCATTTTTATGTAATGTGGAAATGTTTTTAATTGATCCAAAAATATCACCCGAAATAATATGTACATTTTACAAGGATGATATAAATATTGATAAGCTAAAACTTCATAGAGATATGTTTCATGGTATAATTAAAGGCCAAGGATTAATTGTTTCATCCTTCGCAGATATATTAAATATTTTTAAAAATAAATCGTATTTAGTCATTCATTTAACAGAGCTCAGGAAATGCATACAATTGATATTAACAGTACCAGTTACTACATGTACTACCGAACGATATTTTTCTATGTTGAGGAGGTTAAAAACTTATACCAGAAGTACCATGACGCAGACCAGGTTAAATGATCTGGCACTTCTAAATTGCCATAACACAGTAGCAGAATCTTTAGACCTAAGCAAAATAGGAAATATGTTCATAAATAAGTGCATGACAAGAAGAAATACTTTTAAATTGAAAAAAATATAATTTTAGATTGTAAAATTGTCATCATAAAATGTAATGTATTGTAATTAAGTTAGAAAATAAATCGTATTTTCATAATTTCATGTAATTTTTATTTTTATTTTCATTTATCTGAACCCAATAAAGAGAATTGGAATAATATTCATGAACAATAGTATAAATATTTTATTTGCCCCCGTGTTAAAATATAAAAGTCGGCGCCTATGCATGTATCTAAAGGTTTATTCAAAATAAAGACCTTTAATAATATATATTATGGCTACAGTTAAATATATCAATAATATTAATTATTAGTTGAAATTTAAAAACCGTAATAATTATAATATATAGAACGTACTAGTAGATTTAATTTATGATTCATCAATATACAAACCAAAAAAATCAATGTACGTTTCATGTATAATATGGTATATAATATATTATCACTGATAAATACAAAATAAATAATACAGTATTTTTTCATAATATATATATTTTCATAACCATGCAAGGTGTGTAAATTATTTGTTATGATTATTTTTTGTTTCAAACGCGAATGCCGACCAATAGGTGCATGCCAACGAAAATATTGGGGTTAATAACAAACACGTGCGGTAGCGGCGGCTACGGTGACATATAAAGTAGTTAATGTTATTTAGTGAGACACAAAGCTTTATTTCGTCTCAGAGTCTGATTGTAATTTACAGCGATTTGTATCTACAAATAGATGGGCCGCCGCCACTCTGCAAGGAATGCCGCGTGTGTGCTTCGCGTAGTTGTTTTGGCGGGTGCAACATCGGTACAGTAAACATATTCCGTCTATATATTTATATATACTTACTAGCTGTCCCGACACGGCGTTGCCCGCGTATTAGTTTGATTTTTGACATTTTCGTAGGTCGTGTATTATTGTTATTATGTATGAGAAAAGATTTTTTTTTTTATTTTTATTTGTAATTTATTAGTGGTTTCGGAGATCATAGCGTATAGTAAACTATTGAGTATGTCAAATTAATATACATATAATGTCACTAATAATAACCCACGGGATTAAGGATAAAACACAGTCTGCAATGAATGAGTAAATTACAAAGTTCTTTATTGATAACATAAACAAATATAATTTTATAAATGATGTACATTTTAAACTATTTTTAATAATGCCTTATATTATTTTGAATTATAACAATTTATAGAATTATAATAATAATTTTAATTTAACTAATAACTAATTGGCGCACAATAGTTTTGGTTAACCTATCTTTTGCTAATATAAATAGATTTGATAGTTTCCCCACACGTGAGCATGCAACATATAGTTGCCCATGGGAAAAACATAGATTTTCCAAGTCCAAGCCACAAATGGACATTGTTTGTCCTTGAGACTTGTTTATGGTCATTGCGAATGCCAAACGAATAGGAAATTTAAGTCTTATAATTGGTACAGGAGATTCTGATGGTATCATTGGAATACGAGGCAACTGCACAATTTCTCCTTTAAACTTCCCAGTCAAAATAGTTGCTTCAAGAACATTTCCGATGATCCCTTTTGTTTACCAAACGTGTACAGTTGCATACTCTAGGTGGATACAAATTACGCAAAAAAGTAATTGATGAACCAATTTTCAATCAAAGATTGTGTGGTGGCATTCCTGGTATATCCATAGAATTTAAAAATTCAGTGAGAAAATGACTGTTTCGTTTTCATCGACAGTAGTGTCGATTGATTTAAAAGACATCAAATCACCTAGCAATAATTGTTGTATCTGAAAGTTAATTTTGTCAGCATCTTCATTTTTTGCTGCTAAAATAGCACGTTCACTAAGCCAATTTTGATCTAAGTAATTATTCAGTATATTCGGGAAGACATTCTCAATTAATTCATTTTTTGTCTGCACTACATTGCAAAAATTGTCTGGCAATTTGATGCATTGTGTAATTGGATGCAGTTCTATTTTATCGTTTCCAATATCTAGCAATTTTTCAGAAAATATTTTTGCCGATGGATCATTTTGCAATTGTACTCGCATGTTTATGGTCAATCGAAGTGTTTCGACATTTCGCCATAAACACGATTGTTTTAAACATGCGTTAATCTCGTCGGCATAAATAAAGCGAGAAATGACTGGCATTGTTTGTCGGAAATCACCAAAAAGTAGTAGGACAGCACCACCAAAAAGTTTATTGTTGCCGTTAAAATCTTGCATTGTTTTATGAAATGCTTTAAGTAAATGTTTATGAGCCATGGTACACTTATCCCAGATTATGATTGACCTCCTTCGTAACACTGAAGCATATTCCGCTTGTTTATTAATGTTACACATTGCGTTTGGTTTGTTTAATAATGTCTTATGGCAGCTTGAATGCTGAATGTTCCGTTCGTCCACCATCTAACAAAGTGGCAGCAATGCCTGATGAAGCAATTGCCAATACAATTTTCTGTTGTGAACGTATCTTCGCAAGAATCAATGATATTAAAAATGTCTTTCCGGTTCCACCTAGCGCGTCCAAGAAAAAAAAGCCACCTTGTTCTGCATCAACAGTTAGAATAATCCGTTTATAAATTAATTATAAATTATTTGTTGTTCAGCCGTTAGTAATGGTTCATTATTCTCAATAATTATAGCTAAGTCAACCTCGTTATACTGTTTTTTCTCGTTGTAAATCACTGTTAATTAAGTTAGTGGTTGGGCGAATAAGTGTTGGCATACTATAATGATTTGATTGCAAGTTAGAAATTAAAATACATAAATCCTCGATCAAAATTAGTGCTTCATTATACATCTGTTGTGTGAAATCCATATTTAAACATTGGTTTGTTTGTTTAACTCGGTATAGTACGTCTTCGGTCATATAGTTTTTATATTTTTTCCACAGAGTTGATGATTCAGCTGGATTACATGTCGTCAAAATAATTGCAAACAGTTGTCGAATACTATTTGGCGTTGATGTCAACGCTGCATCAGCAAGTGTCAGGTTCCAGTTATTGTCGTCTTCAGCAATTTCAACTCATGACACGCATCTTGATTAGTATTGAACACTTAATCATTAACTGTTTTCAAAAATTCGAAAGACGTTGGTCCGGGAACATTCACTAACAACAAACGTAAAAAGAAGCATTCACGTTGTTTTGGATGTACTGTGTAAAGTCTTCTCAGTGCTTTGGCTTTGAATAGGCCCGCGATTGAAAAATGTGGTTCTCCTTGTTTATGTGGATTACATTTTTTACCTAATTTGTTCCATATAAAGTAGCGTCGAACATCGGTATATAATAATGTTTTTGCAAATTGGCCGAAAACATCAGATTTTTGACACAATGCGAAAAATTCAGTTAGTGTCGTTTTTTGGTGACTCAAGTGCTCTTTGGAGAACATTTTCCTCAGTGAAATATACATGTTGACTATTTTCAAGATATACTGCAAGATGCTGGATAGCAGGATCTTTTTCTTGTATGGAAAAACTAAAAATATGCCTGATTGCTTCGTTGCTGCTGATGTATCTACCCCTCTGGTATCGTGCTATTTCATCATTTGTATTTATATTTTGAACTTAAAATATGGCTAAATCACTGCTTTTATTAACGTATTTGCAAATATACTTAATGGAATGCACAGACCTGTAAAACTCGACATTAATATGAGCATTATACGTTTTTGAAAGGAATGTTGAGTATGGTACCACCCATTGATTGCCAATTTCAACTTTATTTGTAAAATTTAATATTCACATTGTGAAAGTGTCGCCACCATTTTCAGCGTTTCTTCTGCGATACAATGGATACCCATCGATATCCATAAAGGTAACATTTGGGCATTGCTTTGGGCAACGTTTCTTACATTTTTTATTTTCCATGCATGGCGATGTAATAAACCAATGCTTTCGAGCCTAGGCTCAGACAAGCGTGCCCCTTCTATGAGATTTCTCTCCTCAAAGGACACGCTCCATACGGGTCGGTGATTCACATGACCCGGGCGGATTCACGCCGCTCCCCGCCGAACTGCCGACTTTCGTACCGTTAAGTCTTGGAAGACCCCAGGCGTCCGGTGCTCGCCTGGTTTACCTAGCGACGCCACAGCCCTGTCGAGTCCAACCTCAGATCTACCGAAGCAGACTGGGCGCGGCGGGAAGACACGTAGGACACACGCCGCCCTGGGCTAACCGCGCCTCCCGACGTACCTTTCGTGTTACGCGTCAATGGTTGGACAGGCGTCGACGGCGGCCAGTCACCCCGCCGTCTTCCGTTTTTAAAGGGGATAATCGCATTGCTGCCATCACGACTCACACCTGCTTTGACAGCCACACCGCTCTGGGACCGCGGCCTCCGAAGAAGAGCGAGAATCACATGAGACGCAACAATACGCCCGGATGCCCGTAGGAACGGACGCCCGACCTGCTGGGACGGTCATACCAGCAGGCCAGCAGCCTCCGGCGAACCGGATTCGAAGTCATTTTGATCGTACGGCCGCCTCAGAGCTCTTGACACACCGTACATTTTACGCACCAACACGCGTAGGCGGAGCTCTTGCCCCGTGCTAGCTGACGCGCAAGCAAATTGTCCGGGCGAGAGTATTCTAATATTTCTCTCGTCTCCCCTACCACAGAGGAGTGTTTAAATACCACTATCCGCAACCCGCGGACCCGATCTATCAGCATTTGCCGCTGCTTCGAACTAGCCCCGACTAGGCCAACAAGATCACGAAGGAGCAGGGACAAGCCTGCTCCCTTACCCGAGGATTCGGGTAGATGCTAACTTAACATGGCGATGTAATGTTAAAAGCACCACATGGTCCGTGGATCATGTGACTGGTAACAATATCTAATAATTCTTGGTCAATTAATGGATCTGGAATTTCTGCTGAACTTATTTGGTCAATTTCTTCTGGACGGATTTTTGTTTCAAACTTAATCAAAATGTGAGCATGAGGCAAGCCACGCTTTTGTCACTCAATCCAATACAACCAGCAACATGTTTTACTGAAAACCGAATATCTAACAATTAAATCAATCAAGGATTTTAACTTTTGTTTAAATACACGTGCATTGATATTATGACTGTTGACCTGATAAGAGCAAATTTTGTATTTCCTCCCAATTTGGATTACATGTAAATGTAATGAATAAATCTGGACGGTTATAATTCCGTACGTAAGTCTTCGCATCTTGGATGTATTCCTGCATATTCCATGGACTCCTGATATAACTTGAAAGTAAAATGAATGCATTACCAATGTTATTGATGTTTAAATTTTCATCGATGTTTCCGATAACAGCATCTCGTAAGTGGATGTATTCCTCGGATCGTAATTTAGCCTGGTTGAATCAAATAAATCGCAAACGTTCGCTTTCGATTTTAGCGTATATATCCATAACATATTGATGGTACAGCTGACGATATCGAAGGATATAGTTGTCTTGATGACGTCTAATCATCAATCTGTGCGTGTAGTAGCGTATTGAACAAAGTTTTTTATTAGTTTCATTACCTGTAAAAATAAGAAATTAAATTATTAAAACAAAATATAAAATTTAAATATTTAAACACTGAATTTACCAGTAACTGGATTATACTGTTTTATATTAATGTGATATTCATCCTATCCTTGCCAGAATATCTATGGATATTGTAGTACGTCATACGAACGGTGTAGGTCCGAAATTGTACTCACAGTGCTGATTCGACGTGTGATTTTGATGGCTCTGTTGTCAACTGGATCACCGACCATAATAACAGCAACTTCATCTACAGAAGGCGCATTGAACCTGCTAGAGTATTCTCCTGATGGTACTTTGTCAGCTTTAATGATAATTTGATAGTCATCATTTCTTAATTGTGGTGACACTTTTTTATACAATTAAATAAGTTGATTACGACTTTCCAAAAAAAATTCCCAACAATTCTACAACTGCTCTCTCTTCTGCTTGTTCGATAAAATTATGCTGGCACCGAGCTGTCACGCGTTCTTCACAACTGCCCATAAAATAGATTTGGAGAAACTTCGGGTCATCAGTAGGCATCGGCAACAATGACCCAATCATATGATACACCTGGCCTTGTATTTTGAATGTGGTTTCAAAATTACGTCTATCAGGTTTAGAATCATAAATTTAATTACCCCAAATGACGACATTTGAAAGCTAGAATTAAATTTCCATGTCTTGCCCAAAAACAATTTTGAATCGTATAATTCTCCAGCAAGAAGAGATTGTAAAGGTTCCGGTGGAGTGGGAAGAGGTAACAGTACCACTTTTCCTGATGCGCAACACATGCCGCCGGGTGCTTCATTGCGGAATTTTAACGCCTGACAATATTGACATACTTTGACCATTGCACTGATTGCAATATTAGAATGCGCAGAGTAATTTATGTCTACTGATAAGGAGTCTCATATTTTAAAATTATGTTTTCTTGGATCATAGTTAATTTAAATCAGCGTCATTCCCTCTCTCACGAATGATAAAATAATTTGACTATCAATACGCTAAACTATGTATCACAGGAAGGAGATTTTGGATAATTCAAAATACATGATTTACTTATTTTTAATTAATATTCTCTACAATAGATCAAAATATTTTAAATCGCAAAAAATAGCTCTACCATCTCACAACCATGAATCTTAAATACACACATGGTGGGTTTCCTTTAGGAAGTAAATCGGCGTGTCTGTATAATAAACGATTAGCTTATCTACAAAAATTTTAATTACTCATTATCATAAATACTAATCTGGCTATTATAGTAGTTAATATAAAAATACTCGAATATTTTATAATGTACGTGAAGTTAACAATGCATAATTTCAAGGCATAGGAGCACAAGGACGTCAACAGTTAAAATTTAAAAATAGCAAACAAATTTATTAAGTCAATAGTACCATTGAATATAATTGTTCCGGATACTTAGTAATAACACTGCATTTTTACATGGCTCAGTATTCGGTGTAATATTGAAAATTTTATTCGGCCAATAGTCGGTATCTTTTTTATAGTACATTTTCTACCAAAAACATCTCATTATTTAATAATATTTCTTAGATAAATAACTTTCTATTGTAATCCTTTATACAAGTTACATTCTTGCCCTTCCTCTGAGTGAGAGTTCTTTATACTGACAAATTATTTTTTTAAATAATGAATATATATTAAAAAAATATAAAAAATAATGTTTCTAAAACTAGAAATCTATAATGGAAGAATCATTATTAAATCATATTTTTATAAAATTAATATAAATGCAATCGTAGTCTCCAATACATTAAGATTCGTAACAGATAAAAAAATAAAATTATATTTTGTAATTTTGTAGGTATGAGTTAAATGTGGTACTATAGAAACCAAATAATATTGAAACTAGATTTGTTTAATTTCTATAATTATCATTGAAATAACGGAAAAAAGTTAAGATAATTAATTTTTAAATGGAATACTACATTTCAAATTATATTGACCATTGGATTGATTATTGTGAATATATGTTAATTCAACTTCAAATATATAAAGTAAGTTTTTCTCAGTTATAAAAATACCTGAATATAGGAATACATTTTATGAAATATGTTACAAATAGATCAAAAGGACTATGGTCACTTCTCAATCAACATCATATACAAACTGGTATATCATCCTCTTTATTATGTCGTCGTTGGTAAGAAACAAATAAAATAATTGTTTTCATTTAAACTTGATTTTCATATTTCTGTAGTAATTTTATATTTAAGCCTGTTAATTATTTATTCTATATTATTTTCTATGTTAATCTTTATTCTATATTAATTATTTATTATATAATTCTGTCAGAATAATACCATTCAATATATAGTGATCAAAAAAATAATTGCCATCCCATAAAATCATAGACATAAATTTTATTTTTTTGGGTCAAATGAATGTAATATGAAAATAATATATATAAAATCATATGTACATAAATCATGTTGAATATTTAAAATCTTACGAAACCTTTAGCTTGATCCACATAAATACATTGTTTTATTTTATTTGTCTTAACACATATATTCTTACTAGTTCTCAAAAAAGTTTTTACTCTAATATTAATAAACGTGGAAAATAGAGATATTAATAAGACATTTTTTTTAAGATGTTTCCTTAGTGTTTGTATATTAATATAATTGTATATATAAATTTCATTTTTATTTCTAATAGCTACAGAAAATACATACTTTTCTGGAAAAAAAGTGTTTATTTAGTAAACATAATAAAAATTATGTTGGATTTTTAAAAATACCAAAAGTAGAGAAACGGATTCGAGAATTTCGTGAGTAAAAATATGTACAGATTTACTGTATGATTTGAGTTAAATATTTTTGAAAATCAATCACAAAATGTAATATTTTATAGCTTGTGAATATTTAAATGAATTAATTATAATTTTATTAAATTAATTAATGAGCCCGTATAAAAAAAAAAAATACAGAGTAAAGAATACAATATAAATTTTATAAAAATGACCAAATTACTTATTATACTTTTCAGTTGAATGCAAGTTCAAAGATCATTGGGGATCCATTTACGTGATGGTATTGACAATATGTGATGCATTGGTATTGATTGCTATATTTATAACGGTAAATTATTTTAGTAATTAATATTTATTTTTTTGTTTTTGTGTATGGGCTATTAAGACCTTTTGCAACTTCTACTAATCCCTTCCATAGGTCACGGTCAGTAGCGGTCTCGATGTTTGCTATTTCGTTTATCATTATTATAAATTAGTAATTCATAATAATTAATAAATTGTATATTACGAAATGTTTACACTGTTTCAGAATTATCAACTGGCTTATCCGTGGTTAATTATCATGAAAATGACTTTAATTGGAGAATTATGTTTTATTATCAAAATGTACAGTAAGAATAGATGCAAGCCATCTGCAGCTCATCTTTTTAATTTTGGTAAAATATTTTTAAGCATTCAACAAATTATTTATAATAAGTAACTTCAAAAAATAACTACCTATAGAATAAAATATAAATACCTGCATACATCAAACTCAAATGTTTTGAAACTCAAATAAAGAAACAACATATTATTAATTATTGATGAATCGTAAAATTATAAAAAAATGAAATTGATAATAAAATAAAATATATATATATATATATTTATATATATTTATTATATATTTATTTGCGAGTATTAGCCATTTACTAATTTTTGTTTTATTTTATTATTTTATTATGGCAATAAAAAATAATAAAAATTGTTACAAGTCACGATCATTGAATTTTACTATTGTTGTGACTATATACCACGGAAGTATTTAAGGGGCGGTGAGGGGGTACCATCACTCCAGGAGCCAGCATTTTTTTTATAACCATAATCTATCATCCATTTTAATTTGTCAATCAGAAAATTTTAAGATTTTGCATAGTGACCACACTGCGATTTTTATTTTCAAGATAATATTATCAAGAGTTGACCGCGTAAAATTCATAGATAATAAATATTATCTTTCTTGAAAAATCGTATAAAACGTCTGTTGGGGTGACAATAAAACTACCTGAGGCGTTAAAACTAAATACGTCTTTGCTATAAACCGAATAGTAATTATATAAGTAAACCTTCTAATTTTGAAGTTCCAAAATCTATTATAACCTTTTTTATAAACTTCATTATTTAATAATCGAAAACTCGTCATATCATTATTTTTAATTTTTATAATTTTCAAACCAAGTTAAGATAGTAAGATCATAACTTGAAATTTATAGGATTGTGTAAATGGGTAAAACCCGTTATAACTAATGAATTAATATTGGCAAATTCCTACAATATATAATAAAAGTATCACAATAACTTAACATTTTCCTAAGTATAATGTAAAACTAATTTTTTGTAAAGAATTCTCCATAGTTGAAATTAGATATATGAATTCTTACATATTGTGGTCTTAAATGACTATTCTATAAGTACATACTCAAACAACAAACGATTATTAATATTATCAACATAAAAAAATATTATTACTTATCTGAAATTATTATAAAATTGTTTTCAGTTTACGTACTATACAGTTGGTGCTATATTTATTTGTGGTTTGTGGAACAATGATCAGTTATAGCCAGTGAATCCAAGTTTGGTTTAAGACAGGTGTTTCAATTATAATAAGGCCCTTTCACCCACCCAAAAATTAGAGAAAATATTTAAAAGATCAAAATCTACTAAAACGCTAGTTTTACTTGTAAAGAACGCAAGTCCGATACCTCAGCTTTCCTCCCAATACATCCCAATATTTTGTTATATTAAATATCCGTTATGTAAATTGTACGAATGTCTATACACTTTTATATGAATTAATTTTTTGTATTTTAAACAAAAATTCAGGCGAGAAATGTTTTCCCAACACCATCCCCCAAAAATCCGATGGTAATACGGTATTTTAGTCTCATGATTTAATACAGAATTTGTATAAAATTGGTGTGCACTGTGCATACTCACGAAATTCATACTACTTTGCTTCCAAGTTCATAGAGCGATTTTCACATTCAGACATTTCCTCAATTATTTATAAAGCTTTTATCATCATTTAATTCGTTCATTAGAGTACTATGTTTCAGTAATAGATTTAACAATTTAGTAATCACATTTCACAGGTAGAAAAAGTTCAAAAATGTTTTTTTTATACATCATACATCATACAAAGAAAACATGTTTGAACTTTTTCTATCTGTGAAATGTGATTACTAGATTGATAAGTCTATTACTGAAACATAGCACACTAATGAACGAATTAAATGATAATAAAAGCTTCATAAATAATTGGGGAAAGGTCTGAGTGTGAAAATCGCTGTATGAACTTGGAAGCGAAGTAATATGAATTTCATGAGTATGCACAGTGCACACCAATTTGTACAAATTCTGTACTAAATCATAAGATAGTATTTGTATATAGTCTAAGAATTAAAAAAAATTACTTTTCATTGAATACATTAGCCGAAGAACTTAACTTTCAATCATTCGCGTATGGACTGTTGAATAGTGATATTCTTTTTATATTCAAAGTTATGTCAAGTTATAAAAGTAAGGTGAGTGGACATACAAATTTATACAATTTAAACTAAATATTTGAGAAAATAAATTTTAAGATTTATTTAAGAGAATACTGACATAACGTAAGTGAACAACTCAACTTTTGTAAAACATTAGTAAAACATATATCCTTTTATTTTATTAAATGTATTTATTTCAATAATAGTAACTCTTCAAAAAAATGTTGGTTGCATATTTAAATAAAAAAAATATTTTGTAAATTCCAATTTACTATTTATTACATACAAGTAACAAGTATAAAATGTAAATTTATACTTACATAAATTTTAAAATATTTCTTAACGAGATTCATATATAAAAATAAAAATTCAAAAGTTAAAATAAAGTTATACATTTTTATTTTAGTCAAGTTAAAATGAAGTTGACTCAAAATTAGGTTAGATCTTTTGCTAGTACACAAATAGTAAGTAATGATAAGGTAATAGTAAGTAGTAAGTACATAGTAAGTACATAGTAGGTAATGGCAAACTCGTGTTTGGCCTGATTATGATCAATATCCATATCTAATTCATAAGAAATATTTATCATTTTTTCTTAGTAGGCTCAACAAATTGTTAATGATCTGATTCTTTACTTACAGATTTTTTTTAAACATTTTGAAACTGAATCTAAAAAATAAATAATTTTCCCTATATATATTCGAACTTTTTTTGTAGTAGAAAAAAAGATATTTAAATTTTTCGTATGATACCTAAAATTAAAAATTAATACAATTATGATTTCAAAAAATACTCAATATTTTATATTTTATGAAATTTATATAATTTTTATAATTTTATTATTTTATTTTATCACTCTGTTAAAATTCTAATACACAAAATACATAGGTTTTCAATAAAATTATAAATATAACAGTTGCATTACACTCAAATTTAGTATTTTTCTTTTTAATCAATTATTTGTTTTTAAAAACAAAATCGATAAAAAGAAATGTTACAATAAATGTACGTAAGGTTGTAAAGAAGGATTGTTTGTGGAGATTGGAGAAACTTTGCATTGCAGTTACTTCGACAAAATTTAATCTGAATTAGAAAAATTGGAAATTACCAATATTGTACGTTGTACACTGTAACATTGGCGCAAATGTATTTAAAAAAATATTTTAAGGTATTCATAGCAACGGGTCGTAGGCAGTGTTGAGCATTATCTAGATAAATTATCTAAATAAATTATCTAGATAAATAATTAATTATCTTTTATCTTATCTAGATAATAAAAAAATTAGTTATCTGATGAATTATCTTAGATGAATTCTTGAGTTATCTAATGTAATTTATCTAGATAATTAAATAAATTTATTCGAAAAATAGAACTTGGAAGTTAAAAACTTAAAACCCATGTATATACAATTAATTAACCATTCTTGTACAAATATATATATATATTATAAATACGGGCTACGGCCGAATAGATTGCAACGTTGTGAGTTGTGACATTGTGTAGACCATACTCTACAGACCATAATTATTATTATGGATAATATTAAAATGCGCATAATACACACACTACCTATACAAACAGGCACAATTAAGTATATATTATATAACAATGACATTTTGATTAGCTCACATATAAGTTATAACTAATGTGAATGTCATGTATATTATATTCTTTTGTGTTCAATTCGAAATTTCTTAATATAGGTAATATAAATGAATGCAGATTTCCCGAAGTGGTATTTTAATATAACGATATATAGTTATATTAATAAATCCATATTGATTAAGACTATTATAGTTAAGTACCTACTACCTAGGAATATGATATTTTGTTTCTATGAGTGTGCTGTGTGTATAAATTCAATATAGTATATACCTATATTAGTGCACACTGCACACTGTTTATTATTAAATACGTATATCATATACTATAGTTTTGAAATTGTTGATAAATATAAAAATAATATCCATTCTACGAAAACAATAACAAAATATTAATACATATCTATATTCTTAATAATATCAAATGGTCACAGTACCCATGATAGACGACTAGACGAGTGACGACAGTGTATCAGTCATCAGAGTATGCCGATTGCCGAGCGTGGTGTGTGACGAAGCTGGTTAACATTCATTTTTGTTTAAAATTGTGTTTACTGTTTAGTTTCCTAATATTTGATTTGATTTATAATTTTAACATAATGGACAAATTTATTAATCGAAGCACAAAAAAACAAAACAATGTGAGTGAAGACGATCCTGCAGTACACAGTTCGGAAACAATAGAAAAATCAAAATGTTACATATTTAATGGCAAGTTTTTTAAAATAATAAATGTAGAAGACAATGATAAAAATAAAATATTCGCACAGTGCCAAAATTGTCCTAAAATCGTGCATGGTCATAAAGGATCAACTGAAAATTTTTTAAGTCACATTAAGGTAGGTACCTATTTAAATAATAATAATTAATTATCATCGGGGCCTAAAAAATATACAATTTCAAGGTACATAGTTATAATACACTTTTAATTCAATTAATATTGTTTACAGATTTCGATAGGTCGGTACTTATAAGTTAAAACACCTGTGTTAGGCTCTGTCTCGGGCTCTGTTAATAATTATTTTCCCCGAATGACTTGAATGTTTTGATTTTTTTAACCAAGGTTTACTAATATATATATATATATATATATACCTACTGCCTTCCTAAAGAGAAAGACAGTATCTCCAAAAACTAAAATATTGGGAAAATGAGTTTTTAGATTTCTTAATTTTACCTTAAAATAATCAGATTTCATTACTTTTTTTCACATTATACGTGAAATCAGTACAATGTGTATTATTATTATTTTTTTTTTTTTTGTACTTGATTGATTATTTTGACCTTTTTATTGACTTTTTAGGAGCATTTTACTTTAGTATAACAATTCCTACATAACTAAACAGTTAAATTTTTCAAATGCAGTATCTCTATTACCCTATTTTTAATTTTGTTGTTAATACATTGAATGTTTATGACTTATTAATATATTTAGTATAATGTATAGTATTATTTGAGCATTACATTTTTTTTCTATTGATAATGGATAATACTTGTATGTAATTACTCCATAATAATTAGTATATAAATTATAATGAATTGTTTTATAAAATTATAATATTCTTACCTACAAAGAATATATTTTTTTTAAGTACTTATTATGTATTACTTATTTCCTATTCATAAATGTACATAATATAAATATTTGTTGTTCATTGTTTATATTGGAGGTATCTATTAGATCAAAAATAAGTTCATTTTTATTTAATTAAATTTTTTAAATATTAATTTATAAAAAAAAAAGTGTAGATTTATTATGTAATAAAGTTTAAAAATAATTTATCTTTTTTTTTATACAGATAAATCTTGTTTTATCTTTTATCTTTATCTAGATAATTTAGATTTTAATTATCTTTTATCTTTATCTAGATAAATTTTTAGTTATCTTTGCGCAACACTGGTCGTAGGAAAGACAGCACAATAATTTCATAATACAGTAGGTAATATAATATATATGTGCTTTAATCAATTATTATAGAGTAATTATATTAAGTCAATTAGGTAAATCAAATAAAATAATTAATAACCAAGATAATTTTATGATAATCTTAACGTTTTGATGGTAATTAGATTTTAATTAGATTTATTATTGAGTATAAATTATTTTTTATAAATAAAAAGAAAAAATAATTAAAGTCGAGGAGTATCTGAGCAAATTTGATTTATCAAGCTATAGTAATGCAAAAAAAAGTTGCCTACGTGAACTTATTGAATCAAGTAAACATTTTTTAAGTGAGCTTGAAGCTTTCATTCATTTCTAAACACCAAAGATCGATTTGAATTATTTATTTAACAATGTCGTTGAATTGCGTAAATTTGTTGAATTATGTTTTTTTATCAGTTTATCATCGAACGAAAATTAATTTTTAGTATAGAACAGTGGTTCTCAAACTGTGGTACGTGTACCCCTTGAGGGTACTCGACATTTTTTAAGGGGTACGAGTCTGGCCAACAAACTTTTAAATTTAAATACTGGAAAAAATTCAACAATTCAAGTTAACATTTGCGAATTTAAAGCTTAAAACGATACTGTAACGAACCGTTTAATTCATCATTGATTGATTATTGATCACAGAACGCGTCTGCTGTTATACCAAGTACACAGTCAAATATATTAAAATTATATTGGTACGACATTAAACTATGCTAAGGTTGCCAATCGTACTACATTGGACAGGACTGCCCAACATTTGTTTGATTTGTCCTACGTTTAACAATGCTATTACCTTTGTAATGACTATTCTCGTTTTAAAAAAATACCTATTTATATTTCATTATTATTATTCTTTTAATTGTATCATTTTATTATTTAATTAAGGTGGTAAACATCCAAGTGTCATAATTAATAAGCTCATTTGATAAAATGTAATAGATGTTTTTGTTAGTTATCATTATAAAAGTATATACTGTCGATTGCAGCATTTTTTACTAAAATACGCAATGCCATAGCTATTAAGGGAATGGGCCATGCCCCTCCACCATAAGCCATATTATTTATACATATAATCAGTAAAAATAACCATTATGGTGTTCTTTTTATTTTTTTTTTTTTGCATTATATGTGTGTCTTTGAATTTTTTATATATATTTTAGTTTACTATCTAAGAGGGGTACATTAAAAGTTTATTAGTAAAAAAGGGTACAGTGTTTATAAAAGTTTGAGAATCTCTGGTATAGAATATAGTTAAGTATAATTTTATGTGATCAGAAGATAAGTAAAAACTTGTGTCTGGCCGCTATTGATATGCTATTAGTATGCTCTTAAACATAAAATATGATAAACCCATCGTTTAGTTGAGTTAAAACAACAAAACCTATACAACAATTTTATTTGGTCTTATAGAATAACGCCATGCATTCTGTGTAAATCTTATTCAGCCGCAAACGACCATAAATATTTTAAATTATAAATAAGTTCTGTAGTTTTTTTTTTTTTATTAGCTTTCACGAGCCATTTAGGCTCTTTGCTTCTAACACCAGTTTTCCCCAAACATCTCTTGCGTAGGCTAGATCTAAGTTTCCATTCCAATCCGGTTTTAACTCCTCTATATCTCTTCTAACTACATCTAGCCATCTTTGCCTTGGGCGTCCCCTTGGTCATTTCAGATCTATTTGATTCACCATAATATATAATATAATATAATATATCTGATAGTTAATGTATTTATATAAATAAATATTATGTATATAAATCGCTAAAAACCTTAAAATTATTTTCACTGTCAAAAATGAATCTATTATTAAATGGCTGGAATATTTTTTTAATTTGTTAACGTTTAAAAAACAACCAATGTAAATTATTTGCAAAATCAAAATTGAAAATATAAAAAAGGTGTAAGGCTGATAGTTGACAGAGTAAATTTATAGAATTTTTATGAACATAACTACTTCTTATGGAAAATAATTTCTTTCAGTTTCTGGTAATGGATTGTAAATATTTGTATGATACATTCATGTTAACATCGGCTTCCAAAAATCATGACCAGTTATCAATTTGTTTGGATAACTTTACTGCATAAAATTGAAATTTTACTATATTTCATAGAATAACCAGGTTATACAGATATCTAAAATGTAAATATAATAAACTGCACTTATTTATTTACACTAACAAACATGTATATGAACAAGCAACATGTATAATAAATAATATATATATATATATATATATACACATTATATATACATATTATTTTGATTTATGGGCCTGGCCACCCCGAACGTATAACTTACGATGGTGTTTACGGTCACCGCAAAGCGTATGGTAGTTTTTGTGTAGCACTACGACTATATATGAACATTTCTAATTCATTTAGCTGGTGATCTCCGGTCTAAATACTTATTTTTTTTCGTCACACAGATTAAATAATAATATTAAAATGTGTATATATATAATATGTCAATAAAAATAACTGAATGGTGTACCTACTCAGGATTTTATAAAATGATGGTGCTTATTTCAATAAAGGTACTGACACTACACCTATTATTTCCATAAGTATATTTACAATTTATTATTCAAACACCATGTGCCACAGTATTATTTCAATAATTATTTATTAATTTTTCTTATCGAATAAACATAATATATGTTAATCCTACTCATAAAAATGAGTACAGTATCTCCAAACGATTTTAATTATAATTTTTTTTTGAAAGAGATTTCAAATTCGTATTTTTAAAAGAGGACGAATATGTAGTGAATAATAAGGCTTGAACTAAAAATAATAGTTTCTTAAAATAAAACTGCCATAGGTTCTATTTATTTATAACAATTTACGATATTTATAATTGTTTCTCGTTTATTTCAAAAATCGTGTTTTGAGTTCAACCAAAATTGTTCTGCTATACAATTGTATGAAAAAAAATAAATGTTTTGTCGATGTTTAAAAATCAAATCGTTTAAATCGTTTAAACTCCAAACACAAACTAAACATCATTATAGCAAAATCGTAGATCCGTACATATAACGTTACTTCCAAATACAAGTGATAGACGTGATGGGTTCGTTCGGTCTGGGCTAAAAGGATAAAAAGAAACATATATATCATCGCCGGCGGTAAATCATCTGGCCAACTGTTTCGATCCTGTTTTATTTTTTTTATTTTTTACGGCTCCCCGATATACGCACCTCGTGGCATGTTTTACTATATAGTGTATACTATAGTATATACGCAACGTATAATGTATACATTCTGCAGACAGATTGCTTATTTTCGTACCCTATCCCTTATTAATAATCATAAAAAATCCGACGTCTGCTCCGAGGGATGATTTTTTTTCCTAACCGTAACACAACACCCATGTATACGAAGTAAAATATAGTAACTGATGTAGTACCGATACATACGCATAATATTCTCGAGTTATAAACAAAATGTGTAAAGATATCATGGTCGTTAGCCGCAACGTGCGTTTTTTCGTCTGTTATTTGCATGCCACTTGAACACGTCAATTGTCCGCCTAGTGGGTGGGTGGTCATATGTTTGGGGCAACATTTTAACTATATAGTCTTTATTATAAATATACTTAAATAACATACACCTAGGTCGGAGGAGTCCTTTGACCTC